TCCGGAAAAAACCCTAATCCGGAATCGTCGAAATCCGGACTTTACTTTAATAAAAATATTTAAAATGCGCAGTTCGAATGAATGAATAGAAAATTTTAAAAGCTATCTAAAGACACAATGCAACACAATTAAAATAAAAGTCTAAAAATTAAAAAATTACCTAAAATAATAACTAAGACTAAAAAATATAGTATTAAAAACTATTTGAAAAAATTAATAAAATAGATGATGCACCTTTTATTTAAACTACGCAGTTCCAATGAGTAAATAGAAATCTTTAAAACAGTTATTTGAAAGAAACCATGCAACTTAAACAATTAAAATGAAATTCGGAAACGAAAAAAATTACTTAGAATAATAAAAATTAAAACGCCACAAAAAAATACTGAATTGTTTCATATTTTAAATTACGTCCAAAGGAACGTTTCTTTTTAATGTTTTGTGTGTTACCTTTATTTATTAAATATCATGTTCTTTGCACTTAAACCATAAAATTTAGTTCAATAGCAATGTCACAAAATAATTTTAGAATGAGCATATCTTTAGAATTTCCAAAACACAGTTCGACGCGCTGGAGATGAAACGGTTCCCCCCCCATAGAGTGTTGCAATTGCTCGCTTTTAAATCATTGAGTTTGTTACTCAAAAATTCGTTAAAGTTTTTGCAAAATATGAAATCGATAATAAAAAAATTTCAAATTTGGGATTTCAGATGCCCATATTCGCAGTAGTAATTCAAAATTGGATGGCTCTAGATACTGTTGTTTTATCACAATGCGAGAAATATATATAGATTTATGCAGATTTTTCATTATTTAATTTCTTCAAATATAATGCAGGACTCTAACATTTGGTGGCAACAGTTTGAAAAGTGAACCCACATTTATAAGAGTCAGATGCAAAATGCCAAAAGAAAGTAATAGTCCTTCAGGACTCCAATCAGGTAATATTTAAAAATATAGTATAAAGAACATTATTTGAAAGATGAATGGAATTAGGTCAAGCACGCAATCTAAAAAAGGAAAGGAAAAAAGGTGCTTATATATTAAGAATTATTTCTCCAAGTGAAATAAATTCTTGAAATTAATAAAAAAATATGTAAAAAAATTTGGTATAGTCCAAAAAATTGGTATGTTATTTCAGAAAAAAGTCCGATTTTGTGTCAAAACACTTATGTTAGAATAGTGCTATATACAAATCTAATATATATCCCAAGTCACGCTTTCAAGACATGAAAAACGCAATTTTAATTTTGTCAATGGGCTCAGAAGAACGGGAGATATAGAACTGTTCCATTTTTTTTCACAGTGTACATATTTTTTACCCTTAAATGTAATTGTAATTACTTTGATTAGTCATTTGTATATTAATAAAGATTAACTATGTAAAGTTTAATTTTATAAAAACACTTTTTTCTAAAACTCATTGAAGTAATTGCACTTTATGTAATAGTTCTTTTTCTGATTTAAAAACTGAATTCTACAATTAGTAAATTGGCTAATGCTCATGCAAGTATTCTTTAAATTAAAGAAAAATTATCAAGACTGAACCTCTGGTTTGGTTCTTATATAATTATATGAAAAAAAGGTCATGTATGTTAAGTAAAACAAACATAAAGCAATTAAAATGCCTACAAGTATTCCATCAAATCAGTTTGAGTCTAAGGTTGAATTTTATCTCAAATTAATTATCACACACTAGCCAGCTTCCTTTTGGTATAAATAATAGTTCTCTTTAATTTTTTGAACAAATGGTTTATTGGTCATCAGTTGCTTAAAACTAAGAATTTGCTATTTTTTTTTAATTGGGTTAAAAAAAAGGGGGAACCTTTCACTAATACTAAAACTGCTTTTGTTAGTCTAGTGCCAGCTGAATTGGTTGAAAAGGCTGTAACGCAGATCATCTTATGAATTGTGCCCAAAGCTTGTTGTTATAAGAAAGATAATGCAGCCTAGAAAAGTGAACCCAATCTGAATGCATAACCCAAGCACTAATAAATGATATACATATAAGGGATAAAAAGAAGACAAAAAATTAATTAAACAGCAGAAATTCTGTGAAAATGCATAGTATTATGTATTTATTTATATAAGTAGATCTATTATAACATGAAATTCATGTTGTAATAGATCTACTTATAACATTTATGAGTAGATATGTCTCAATACTTGATAACATGTATCAGTACTTTATAACATGAAATTCATTGAATATTTTTTTTCTTGAATTATATAAAATATTGTTGAATTTTTTATGGAGCATAATTTTCCAAATCTTTTTTTTTTTTTTTTTTTTTTAGATGTTGCTGTTTATGTATATAATATATACAATCTGTTACATGGTATATGTAGATTCTCATTCTGTCAATATTCTAATATGAAACATAACAATGTGAATAACTGTGCATTCTTTTCAAACTTTGATATAGTCATTCATGATTACACTAAAAAGGTAATGAATATCAAATCACAATACAAATAAAAATCTCAAAATATTTGAATCTGAACCTCTTTTAAAAAAGTTACATTTAAAAAACTTTTAAATGTAATAATCATAAATGTATAAAATATTATACAATCTGACCTTAAACACAATTTTAGTTTCATACCTAAAACGTAATCATAGCTTTGTTTAGCGAACATTCATCTCATTATACACATTTAGGTAAACACTTTATGAAAATACATGAAAATTATGATAAGCATTCTAGTCTAAGAGTTAATGGCTGATAAGTTTAAAGTCACAAAACATAATAACTTATATTTACAATGAACTGTTCAAAATGGTAAAATAAAATAGCAGGAAAAAATTTTGATGGGAAAATTATTTCAATGTAAATGCCCCGCATACATATTTAATAAGAAAAAGACTTAATTATGTAATGTAGCTATACACGAGCAGTACTTTCAATTTTGCCAGGACATCAAATATGTGAAGTAGAAAAGAATTAACACCTCAAGGTTTCCTCCAAAGTATTTAAAAACAGGGGATAGGTAGGCACTTCTGATTTTAAACATTAAACTCTGATTTATAGAGTATTTTAAATTCTCAATTTATCTTTTAAAATATAAATTATTAAATAAAACAACTATAAATGATAAAATTTATTCAATTCAATTTTATCAACAAACAATTATTCATTTTATACAAAATGCTAATATAATGAACACAATGCAAACTGAAATTAAATCATGATTTATAGTTTTCTTCAGGAAATGCTAGCAAATTATATATTATTTAAACAGCATATTTTATAGAAAGAAATTAAGCAGTAAACAGGAAGTTTTAAGTTTTTCACAAAGGACTAATCAAATACATGATATCTAGATATACTGAGAATAACAGACTACATATCTGGAATATAGCATACCATAATTTTAATTCCAAATGATAGTCATTTTGTTAATTTAAAACACTAATCAAATGTCTTACGTGCAGTAAAATTGAATATGTGAACTGAAACAATTTCCTTATAAAATAAGAGTTATTACATTAATCATCAGACTACTGAGTTATATAATGTGTACTAAAATTATATGCTTTAAAACTTTATGAAGTAATGAATCACTAAATTTTACATGAAAGACATTATGAATTAAAAAAACCATACAGCACACATGATATTACTTTTAATCATGTACATATCTTATGTTGGAATGACAGATACTTAGCTATGTTAAATACAGTACAAAGTCCGTAATCCGGACTCGGTCGGGACTTCGGCGATTCCGCTTTAGGGGTTTTTCCGGATTATAGATCATCTATTTAAATCTGGTAAGATGGCATGCAGAAATTGTACAATCAAAAATATGAAACCGTAATTTATGAAATAAAGAGCAATTTTGGTCTAAAAGGTATCAAATTTTACAAAAAAAAAAAAAAAAAAAAAAAAAAAAAAAAAAAAAAGCAGCTTAATATTTATTTGTTTACTTTATTAAACATTTCTTTCAACGCGCGCATGCGTAAAGCTTAATGCATGCGCATTCTTTACGCGCATGCATAAAGTTTGTGGCTTTGAGGTCCGGATTATAGATCATTCCGGATAATGGACGTCCGGATTACGGACTTTGTACTGTATTATCTTTAATTTAACAAGTCATTTAAATGACAGTTTGGCAATATTTTGATGAGATAGAAGTACATATCAACACAGGATACTCCTTTGTACATACAGTTCAGTACCTCTCAAAGTTATTATTTTAAGATTTTGATATATGAACTAAGACATGAAACATTTTTATTAATATTAGACACAATTTTTAATTAAGGTTTTTCTAAATGAAAAATACTGGCAAAATGTGGAAGGCAATTTTATTTTTACACTTCCATTTAACATGAAATAATATCACTAATAATAAAATTAAATTTTAAAAAGTAAAATCATTAATCAAATATAAATTCTACAGAAAATAATTTTGTGTTTAAATTATAGCAAAATTATAAGTCCTTTGGAGACAATTCCTTTTTGGCAAGAAATGCAAATTATTAAAATCAGTTTTATATGACTTTTAGTTGATTTAAGTGAAATAACCTAATAAACAAATTAAAATTTAAAAGCTGTCATACTTGTTTATTATTATTTTTTTTTTAAATTTTTTAAACTGATTTATCATGCACATATTTTTTGTCCTCAATCCAAAGAACAAGATCATCACAAATATCTAATAATTTAAAAATTAAAATTTTCTTTAAAACATTTTATACTATATTATATTTTCAATAAAAACTATTTTTATATTTCAAATATTAAAAATATGTACAGTACTTTTTAATATATTGCTTAAAAATTTTTGTATCAACATAAATTTCTTAGTCTTTGGCTTAACAGCTTGTAAAAATATGAGAACTCAAAACTATACATAAAAATTAAATTGCAATGTAATAAAATAAATATATTTAACAGGAATATCACATACAGATCTCTCAGATACACACACACTGTACAAAATGAGAGCACTTTTTTACAAAACATAAACAGCATTTAAATTAAAAAATATTTTAAAAAAAACTTAAAATTCTGACTACATTAAAGTCTTGTTTCTGTTTTTGGAAATTTACTTCGTATTAACTTTTCTAAGCAAATAATCGGAGATTCAAATATCAGAGATACGGGTAGAGCTAGTCCATATGTTACAACTAAGAATCCTAAATAGTACAGGGTCTGAAAAAGAAAATATTTACTTAGTTCTAACCCAATAAAAAGTCAGCACAAGATTTAAAAGGAACACTAAATATTTTTTAATAAAGTATGCAATAATATTTACATTCTGTGATCAAACTTAAAAACAAAAGTCTAGATATAATTTATTATAAAAAATGCTTGGTAGAGCACATGTATGGATATATTCTAGATTTTTCACTTCAATATTAAATGAAAAATCAAAACCATTAGCATTAAGTATAAAATTTCTTATTTTAAGTTATCATAAAGTAGCATATGCTATGCTGTGAAATAAGATTTAAAAAGTCTTTATTTATTTATTTATTTTTTAGAAGTAGTAAATCATGAATATTAGATGTATGTTTCTTCATAAAAGAACTATTGATTACCTTACCTTTGCTGCTAGCAACACTGTCTGATGGGGAAATTAAATTTAATTGAAAATTAAATAATACAAAAATACGATTTGATAAATTGTTTAATCTAATACTAATGGTCCTTCCATAAAAAATTACTATTTTTATTTTGTAATAAATTATTTTATAGAAATGCAGTAGACATTCTATTTCACAATTTTTGTTTACTTGAATGCTATTACAGTCATATAACTACAAAACCAACTTTTAGCTTAGCATGTGGGGGAAGTGAGTAGCACATCTTTAAGAATTATAAATATTCTAAGCAGAACTGCTTTCTAGACTCACTAAGGAAGTGTTGTAATTCCATGCACTTTATGATATTGCTTATATTACATGATATATTACTTTTCCATTTTATTATCCATTATATGCATTTTATTGTATCCATTATTATTATTATGCCTTGTAATAGCCATTACATAATCCCTAATGCAATATATTTCATATAATTTTACTGCTCTTTTATACAGTATGTCATTTGGCAAAAGTGAGTGGAGAAGACCTTTGAATGCTGGTAGTTTGACATGGGTTCATATTCCATCAAACAAGCAAGTTGTATGAGTGTTTTTGTGAATTTTCTTATATTTAACATAAATAGAAGGTAGTTTTTCTTTATTAGAAAGTTCTCCATGAAAGCCTCCGTTCCTTAAGCAAATAATCCTCATGTGCTTTATTTCCATCAAGTAGCCAACTTGACTAACTTGACTAGTACACTAAATCTTATTGTAATAACAAACAAGAAAAATGTATAAGCATGTCTAGCAGGTCTTTTTAAATCCTGAACCTTAATCTAGGACAGAGGAATACTGTAGCAGTAATAAGTACCGTTAAGATATTAAGTTTTATATATTTATACTGAATTTTTATATTTAAGTTTCAAATCTTGATACATCATAATTCTCAAGTATTTCCATTTTCTTTCTCAGGAAACTTTTTAATTAAACTGAAATGCACGTTTTGAACAGAATTTTTTTGTAAATAATTTATCCACAAATTTATAGATATAAATAAATTAATAATGACCTGCTTCCACTTATAATTAACATCACATTAAATGGACAAAGCAGTTTACGGATGAAAGATTGAGACATGTGACAAATCAGATTAGCTAAAATTAAAAATAACAACAGAAATTTTAGTGGAAAATTGGATTTTTTTTTTTTTTTTTCCTTCTGTTTACTTTAAAAACAAATGTATAGCCATTAAAAGACAAAAACAGATGCAAAAGAAATTTTTTGATTCAAATTTTCATAATCAATAGCTGATTTCTTGTATATCTTAAAAGAAATCTCTGATATACACATACATATATTTTTTAAATAGTATCAAAACATCACATAGTTAAGTAATCAACTAATTCAGAAATAATATTTTCAAAATATATTCATTTAAGTGCTTTAAAACCATACACATAATCTGATACAGACCATGGTTGCATGAGAGAAAACGAGAAGACTTCTGAGAGATGAAAAATAGCCCGTCAGAATCATGGGATGAATAAGATAAGCACAGTATGTCAATCTACTTAACGGTATGAAAAACTTGTATGAAAGAATGCCATCAACAACAGCTGAAAACAAAACGGTGGAAAAAAGAAAAGTGAATATGCTACATTTAATTTCATATATTACATAAAATACATATATACACATTGAAACTATTAAAAACACATAAAAAAGTTTTGACTACGCTATCAATATTTTTGTCGCCTGTTGTCATTTATCATTTCTCACAATGCTGATATTTGTTGCCAGGGCTAGAACAAGAGAGAGGCCATTGCCCTTGGTGAACTACTAAGAGGGATACCAAACTATTCTACATGGTTGAAATTGCAAAACAATAAAAAATATGAAGTGGACATCACGATTTCCTCGCATGGCCTATTAAATTATTATTATTCTTTTGATTTAAAGTTATTTTCTCGAATTATTCTAACTTCAACCGATCTCAAACCGATCCCTGAAGATAAATAGAAAATGATATCAAAAATTACAAATTGTGAAATTAAATACTTAGTCAATTTTTATTCTGTGGGAATCAAATTCCTTGTATTCTTATTTTTTCATAAAGAGTATAAAACTTTCCCAAATACAAGCATAGGAAACAGGAGATCGCATTAAAAGATTTCGTTATTTACCAAAAATTTTTTTGTTTTGAATTTGACGTTGTCAAAACATGAATATTTTTGTCATTTAAAATACCTCTGTTTTTTTGGTGCATTTAGACTTGTTTCCTTAACTTATTCTAACTTAAGTAACCAATCCCTGATGACAAGTTAAAAATGACATAAAAAATTCCAAGTTTTGAAATTAAATCCTACTAAATTTCTCAGGGAGTTAAACTTCTTGCAATTTTATTTTTTCATAACGAGTATAAAAATTTCACAAATATAAATATAGGAACCGGGAGAAAGCATTGAAAGTTAGATTTCGTTATTTGTCCCAAACTAATTTTTTTTTTTTTAAACATGACACTGTCAATTTTCATCATTTAAAACATTAATGCATTTTTACTGCACTTAGTTTAAACTTGTTCCCTCGAATTATTCTAACTTAATTAACCAATTCCTCAAGTCAAGTTAAAAATGACATAAAAATTTTCAAATTAAATATCCTGGCCATTTTCATAATTTAAAACACTTCTGTAACAGGAAGTAGATGATTAAGACCAACGTTCGCAAAAATAAAGGCCGGGTAAGAAATTTCAAGCTGGGCAAGGCAGTTAGGTATATGTGTATATGCTTGGAACTGCCGACTGAAATAAAAAAAGCGAGATGCACAACTAGATTTTATAGCCCCACATACAAAGTTCTACGACTAATAGATTTTTAAGTTATGCGAGATAATACATTTTAAGTGAGACTCACACACTCTACCTATTTAGTCAAACAAGTGAGGATGAAATATGATGCCAACAAAAAAAAATCCACCCCCCTTTTCTCTCTTTTACACCAATTCTAAATTAGTATTACAGGACCCATTATGTTCATATATGCTACACTTCCACTCATATTCATACCCTGAAAAGCTCTATCTACTATGCAAATTTCATACTTATTGACTATTGCTTTGTGGTATTTGCGATTTTAATGGGCAGTAGTATAAATAAAAATATAATAAACAAAATAATTATTTAATAATATAAATACATTAATTATGGTTTTACATTGATCCTAAACGGCATTATAGGCATACTGCATTCGCATATGCACTGTATTGCTAATAATTTTCATGTCTTACTGTGCTCTACATATAATACAAATTTCATACTGATTAGCCTTTCTTTCACAGTGTTAAAGTTATAATGGCCTGCAGCATAATTCAAGAAATTAAATCATAATAAACTAAACAATTATTTGATATGAATTAATTGATTAATTTTCATAATTATCTGCCTTTTTAAATACTTCATAGAGATACAGACCTTTTTTAATGTCAAATTTTTATTCTACAATCTTTTATGAATTTAAAGGAGACATTAAATGCAATTTTGGGTTAAAAACAACACTAATTTAATTAACAACAATAGAATTAATGACATTCAAAGTTCTTAAAAGTGCCATGTTTTATTTTCTACTAAAACTAAACTAAAATACTTTATATACTAAACAAATCAAGAAATTACATTTGCTTACTGTCTTTACTAAAATATAAAATTATTTTAATGGGAAATGACATTTAATCATTAATCTTATCCTTTTCTCAGCCATATTTAATTGTCATAAAAGCCCTATTCAATTATTATGAAAAAGCACATTTTAAAGGAACATTATATTTCTAAGTTATTTATGCTAATTTTTCATATCCTGTCTGCTTCAGGTCTGTTCCTGGTAAGATGTGACAAATCAATATTCAAATATTGCCAGGCAGATCATTACTATTTTAGATATTACTAGAACTGGCTGTGTTTATTTTAAAATGCTAGTACAATGTATGCATGCATGTAATCTTTCATTTTAAATTTTATTAACGTTGAGTCATTAAGGTTTGATAAAGATATTTAAATAACCTTAGATTAAGATAAGCAAAGAAATTTACTCTGCTATGGAGATTTAAAATTTGCTATTTAATGCAGAGTAGAAAATGGAAGACCCTACCAATTTGTTTTTCTATTCTTTGCTGACTAAATGGCTACAAAAGATAAAAATTAACCTGCATAGTTTATGGCAAACATTAACAAGCTGTGAGTGCTTTAAAAACCACTAAACAAAATTTACAACATAAGATTTCTGGAACTTTTCTTTCCTTTACACAACAAGATCTGCTCAACATATTTTAAAATACTGTTTACGTACAGTTTTTTTAATGTATAATTTTTTTATTATATTACTTGCTACTTATCGTTATAATTAATTCAAAATTTTATTAATACTAGCTGCCTGTATGATCAGCTAGCTGTCCCTAAAATAGCTATAAAAAATGTATATGTAATAGTTTTAATGAATAACTGATGCAATTTAATTAGTTTTTATATAACATTTCTGGTGCACATGCTTATGTAACAGTGAAAAATGTGAAGTTAGGTTATGTATAAATTATTTAATTATAGCAAAGCACGTGAGAGCTAACTGCTTAAGGGGTGTCTTGGTGGAGAAGTTTCCCAGGAAAGTTGGCTTGTATTCTTATTACACATGGGCAAAACCACAAAAAACCAACCATGCAGCTAGACTATTCACCTCAAATTGAGCTCGGGTCAAATGAACAGTATTCAATGACTTCAACCGCTTGGCCACTAGCAGGGCCATGGCAAAACTTAAAGTGAAATGCTTTATCATACGATATCTAAAGTACTTGTAATAAATAATAATAAAGCAATAGTATGTGTCTCAGTCAAATAATATAGTAAATTTGTCATTTTAAATGTACATACCTAACATAATTTTGTTTCCTCATATATTTCTTTGACTATTTGACAAACATAAATTTTGCAATTCTAATTATTTCAAGGGAAGCACTTTTCATTCTCACTTTTGTTAGCCTACTATTTTGTTATCCTATAACGAACTGCTAGTTGTATTAAAGTTGTTCAATATTTGAATAAATTACATTAAAAAGTAAATATTTTGTTCATGCTGATTTCTGTTCTGCAAAAATTGTTACTTAGTACATTACAGTAAATTAGCAGATAGCCTTAGTGTGCTTTGCTTTAATCAAATAGTCAACATAACCATAACAGTAAAAAATTGACAAGATTTTCTTCTGTAATATATAGTTGCTAGTATATTCCACACATAATATAGGATAACTTTTTTTCAATATTACTTATAACTAGAGAGTTATGAATTCTGGAATAATTAACTATAACATTAAATATTTTTAAGATTTGTAACATCAATCAAAAAATTATATTTATAAAACTCATATCTGCAGTATGCGTAATATGGTTACTGTCCAATATAATTTACATCAAACGTTAATTGTAATACTTTATTTTTTAATACAAAAATTACATATTGAAAAAATTATGAACCACTGACCTGCTTGCTTTGTGAGGCAAACATAAATAACCCAAGCCAATCCTCCAGCAAAACATATTCGATTGAAAGCATTGTAGAAACTAGTTGCCAGTAAAGATGGGTTGCTTTTGTATAAGCCATAAACAGAAGCTAATGTAATAGCTGAAGCTACAATCCACCCACAACATAAAAAGATCTGAGGAACAAAAAAAGAAATGAAGATTCAAATCCAAACTTTTTACAGAAAAACATTCACCAAACTGTGGCATTCTTAAAAAGCAAAACACCTTTTCCCAAACTGAAAAATTAAACTTACTAGGATGGCGGATTCATGCAGAAGAATTTATTGAGTGACTTAACACTATTTACTAACAATATTAAGTGCGACAACTTTATGCTTCTATAATTTCTTAAAGCGACATAGTAGAAATAATGTTTTTAAAAAATAAATAAACTTTTCAAGAATTTTTATATATTTTAATATGTTTGTGCGAAATTAACTCAGAATGAACACTGCACAAAAATCCTCATATGCTGACAGCTTTAGCAATTTAATAATATACTTTTAACTTTAAATTCAATTAATTTTATAACCTAATTTTTTACACCTGAGTTCAACTTTTATTTTCTTCAATAAAATTCAATAACATTCATTAAATACATTTATCAAGCAAAAGTAACACGTTTTCTCTATGCCTAATCAACAAAATTAATTGATTTTCCTCCATTTTAGCTCATTATGACTACTTACCAATAATTCATTTTATGTCAGCTGTAGTATTTGCAGTTGTTCATTATCTATACCAAAAGTTACTACAGTCGATTCCTGTTAATCGGATCACATCGGAAAGTGATCGTTTTGGTCCTAATAAACGGCTGGTATGATTACACGAACATGTCCTACTATACACAACTGCATACACAACTGGTAAACTCCATCCTAAGTCCTTTAAAGCAGCGAGGCTTAGTGCTTTTTCCTACAACCAACAGCTTCCTCTTGTCCGTTCCTGACATGTTTGAAGTAGCACAAAACAGTTACGCGATCCATCGCTTTTTTGAAGCCAGAAAGTGCAATATGTTTGTAACTTAATGAGCCATCCGGTGTAGCACGATAACACAGCCCAGTCTCATCAGCATTGTAGATGTCATCTGCTGAAAAATTTTCAAGAAGTTCGGGCAGTTTTGTTGATTTCCATTCTTCAGCATTTGCACTATCAGCACTTTTCTTTCTCGCCATGTTCTTTCTTGAATTTTATGTCATGTCTAGATTTCCATCAAGACAACCAACCGTCCGTAGCTTTAAAGTCGTTGTGGCCCAGCTTTTTAGCGAGGCCCAGCTTCTGCTTTGCATTTTAACAATGGGCCGCTTACTCGCACAGATTGTCCAGTAACAATGGCAAAACATTCATTAAGGGCCTTGCCTTCACGCTTCCGTTTTTTGGAAGTTCCTCCTTGTCCTTCCCATTGTGCTCATTCTCTTGTTTTATCAAGGGCAAAATTGTAGTTTTTGCGAATCCGGTTATTTCCACCAACCGACGCTGACTAGTGTTTCATGGTTGTTGCATGACCTTATCCAGGAAACCAATTTTTTCAGCTAACGTCAAGTCCCGTCATGGCATTTTGGCAGGGAAGACAAGACATGCGCACAGTTCACTGACTAAAGTGGTCTGAAGAAATCTTGGTGCTTCGGGTTCAAGATGTTGAGGTCAAGAGGGAGATAAAATGCTCGCCATCCAAAGCTTTGGCAGTAAAATCATCCCATACAGGTGATGAAATGACAGCTTTCTCGTGTAACCTTTAATCATGATTGACAGGCGAGAATTCCTTTCAGGTGGAGCTGGACACTCTATTGTTCATTTCCTGGAAACTCGGAGGCGCAGGTCAAAAAAAGGTCAAAGAAAATGGTGCACATGTTTACCTTCCACCGGATTTCCTTTTGTCATGCATTTTAAGGAATTCCTGACCTTTGATAAAGCATTTTCCTAGAGAGCCACAATGTCCTCCAATATGTCGCAGACCACCTGTACATCCGCTGTATGCGCCCAACTTGTGTCTTCTGTTTCTTATTCGCTTTCATGTTTTTTGGTCCAATTAAATGGAATTTTGGTCCAAATAAGCAAATAATATTAGGCTTACATACATAGGATTTGTTTCGGTTCATTAAGATTTGGTCTGAAAAGTGGCTGGTCTAATTAACTGGATTCAACTGTAATTGATTTGCATTAATGCAATTTTAATATTAAAATTTTTATAAAATAAGATTTTATTTAAAACTCTTAAAATAATTAATGAATGAAAGGACAAAACAAGAGAATAAATACTTCTCTTAACAAAAATTATCTTCAATTTTATATCAAGAATAATAAAAGCATGTGGCACCCTTGATAAATTTATAAAGGTAATGTCTTTTACTTTCGATAATTCAATTTAATTAATAGATTTTTGTTACTTAAACGGCCACAATTTTATTATTCATGGTATGAAATTGTATGTGAATTTTGTACATGATAGTATTTTAATCTCTTTTCCCATTAAACTATATGATATATTATTTTCCTCTTTTTAATTCATTAATTATTTTATGAGTTTTAAATAAAAGCTTATTTCATAAAAATCATTTTTTAAAACTTTTTAAATTACACATTTTTAGTAAAAAATACATTTGTAAATATGTGAATATAGCTGAATAAGCTATATTCACATATTTACTGAGCTCTCTTAACAACATTACATTCATAGCATGATTGTTTATATTAGTTAACATTTTATAATGATAAAAACAACAAGAAAAAAACAGCCAATTAATATTAAAGTTTTTAAAATAAAATTAGAAATAATAATTATTACTTTTATTTCAAATATTGTTCAAAACCTACTCTTACATGTCATCATTTCTTTAAGTCTTCAGGGCTCATTTTATTATGTTCAGCTATTTAAAATGTCTTAAAAAATTTTAAAAAAAGTTTAAAAAAATATTTAAAATGCCTCCTTTCTTACATTTTTTTAATTACTTTCTTAAACTAATTCCACTGCTAGCATAAAAAATGAATTCTAATAAAACATACTTACCCAATTATCTTTGCCTCTGTTGCTCTTTTTGGATTTAAATAGCAAATATCCCAAAAACATTCCGACTAAGTACGGACCTATTCTTGTGTATGGTTTTATATACAGTTTTTCAAAGTAATCAGAAAATCTGAAAATACATAATTTTTTTTAATAGGAGGTGACATATAAAACATATGCTAATTTTTATTTAATAAAAATTCAAAAGCACGCAAGAATACCATACAAAAAATCAATTGAAATTTAAATGCTACATATAAAGTAAACTGAAAAACTTATCAAGATTTAAAAACACTTTTTAAGCTTATGATCTTAATTTATATGAAAATGCAAGTGAATGCTTTTTTTTTAACAGTCTGCTCTTTGGGCTCTTTTTGGTTACAACCAGAAACTATATATTTGACAAGCACAAGATATTTAACTCACCATTTTTTAGATTTTGATAGTAATTAGATCTATAATTATTAGGCAGTTGAATTAATAAAGGTCACTGAACTGCCTGTTACATGATCAGTGTGCATGAACTGTGTATTATATAGTTATTAGATATTTGAAAACCAAAACACTTGGCAGCTTTAGGGCAGCTATGGCAATTGTATGTAACCTAGAAATTCTTTACTCAGCATTGCAAATTATTTTTAGCTGTGGACACAAGGTGCATCTCAAATAAAATTTTAGCTAATATTTTGTTAAGTTACTTTTATGTTTTTGTTCTTACACTGACAATAATTCACTTTAACTGTTGTGTAACCTAAGCTCGGCCATTGATTTAAGTCTACCTCACAAGAAAATTTGGTACTATTCGGTTTTGAGGGCCATAAAAAATCGCCAAACTATTGTTGATGCCAGTGCTGCCAAAAATAATTGCGGCAACCCTAATGCAAGAAAGGAAGTATAATAGTAAATAACTATCCAAGATTCATGTTTTAATTTAGATGAAAGGTTAATTTCATATAATACTTTTTTATTATTATACCGTATTTATGCGAATCTAATGCGCATCCCCATTTTAAAACTTTAAATAATAAAAAAAATGTTTGTCGGCGAATGTAATGCGCATCAATGGTATGAGGAATTTATTGAATCTTATTTTATACAAATATGGATTGTATATAAACTATCAATCATGGTATGATAATTTTATTTAAATTTAGATACCATATTTTATACAACAATGGATTTATACATAAAGTAGCACAACATAGAATTAACCTATTAGTGGGCTATTGTTATGTGAAACAATCATTGTTCATTACCACTACCGTATATACGGTACCTATCGTAAAATATGAACATGAAATAAATCGTAACATTTTTATAGCTAACAGTTTCTACAAACCGTGATTAATAGTAATCGTCTTTATTCACTAATGTTTTCATTGCTGGAATCCTCGCAGCTCTCTTCGTCAGAAGCAGATTCATTTCTTCTTTCCTCATCGTCATCATCGTCATCCCACAGCCAACTCTATAATGGCCTTGAAGCGCAAAAGTCACGTGATCGAGATGGTCGATGTGTTGTTGTGGTAGTGTATGGTTGTGAACCCGTGGTCGTGGATTTTTTGGATGTATATTTTGCTATTAAGTGATTTTAAATCACTTACGCTAAGATAAATAATATTTTTATCTATACTTCGTTTTATACTTTTTTAATTTTTAGATTTATTTGGGAAAATTTGTAGCTGTTCTCAATCCTATTCAAGTAATGTCGTTTCAACATAACATCGAATACGTTAGTTTGGACGTATTCGATGTGTTGTTTTGAATAGTGTTGTTTTGAAAATTTGTTTGGAATAGTACATTAGGAATTCCTTATTTTGATTATTTCTTTCTAATAACATATTTGACATTGTGTCCCAATAAAAGAAACTTTATTACCACAAACATTTCAGGCATTAATAACAACTACAGATGCATTCATTCAATTGATTCCATGTTTGTTTCAAAAGTATGAAGCTGAATACATATTGTTAGGAAAATTTCAAACTGATGCTCCTGAATCACGTTTTGAAATGTATCGGCAAATGTCAGGTTTCAGAATATTAATAAATGACCTACAATTATTAGAAAATGAGAAGAAGCTTCGTTTTATTTCATCATCAAATATGAATGTCCCTTTTACCAGATTATGATAAGGATTCTATCTTTACTTTGCGAATATTAATTGATTATTCAATTTACTTATTATGATTTTTTTATAGAAATGTTCTTCTGCTATTTTAGCAGTGCTAGTTTTTGTTTCAGGTTATGATGCATGAAAAAATTAAGGGTGATAAAATGCAATATTTGCCAGGACTTGTTGCAAGTACTCATTCAGTAGATACAGCAGATGATATTTTGGTTTTCTAAAGATTAGATAAGGGGAAAATTAAAAATTTTCCATCTGAAGTTACTCTATTAAATCTTCAATTGTATTTTTTATTTGGTGAAATTCTTAAAACATGGAAATGCATTTCTTATGTCAGAAAGCAATGGATATTTTATATAAGTTTCTTGCATACAGTTAGTAGTACCTATACAGTTACTTAATTTAACAGATTCTTGCACTTGTGGAATGACTTTACAACTCGGTTAGAAAATATGTTTGATACTTGTAAATAAAGTTCGTATGTGGTTAATAATTATACAAAATATAAAAATGACAAAATTAATATAAATGTTCATATAAAATGATAAAAATTTAATTAATTTCAGTTAATAACTCAATGTTTATTTTGATTTATTCTTTGTTTCTGCATAGATTATGTAATATGTAGCATGTATGTAATGGTACAGCTCCAAGTTTTTGAATTATTTTTATAGTGGTATAGGCCTGTAATTTGGGGAATCACTTTAAAAAAAAACCACTTATCTCTTAGATGGTTTGGAAAAGTGATTCAACATAAAATTGGAACTGGTACAAATAGATGGCTATCCTTTTTATGAATGCAATTAGCATTTAGCTCTTTGAAATAATCTTGAAGATTTTATTTATAGTATAACGTGCATGTAATTTCATCTTTATATTCAATTTTCTAGCATTTAAGGAATTTTAATTCATTTTCCTGTTTTGATAAAATTGAGATATGCAGATTTTATTAGTGAATGGAGTGAAGAGAGATGACTATGGGTATTGGCTTCTAAAAATTTATATAGCTGATGCGATGGTAGCAGCATGGAGTTTTACAAATAATTTTCCCTTAATATTTATTTTACTAGTATAAATCTAAATTTGCATCCATAAATTGAATTCCCCCCTTTGTGGATTTTATCTTATTTTGCAATAAATTTGATTCGATTAATAAATGAATTTCATTTTATCAAATTAACATAAAGTATGTGTGGGTGATTCTCAATGATATTTTTAGTTACATAAACGAAGTAAAATTGTTTAAAAATTATTGAAGATATGCATTTTTACCGCCTGTAAAAATATTGCACTATGAAAAATTTAATGTTAACCATACGACCTACTCACGTTTATTAATTTTACCTATATTTATAAGACAAACTACTATTTTCGGTAAAGTTTAAATCTGGGATTATGGTAAAGAGAAAGAGATTGACTATTTCGATCACGGGACCTTCCGAAACTGATTTCGCTTCAAGGCCATGATACAGTCGGCTGTGCGTCATCCTCGGCGTTCCAGAGCACGTCATCTTCACTGCCATTCAATGAATTTGAAATGCAGCATTTCTTGAAAGATTTCGCAATCATTGGATCTTCGATGCTTTTCCAGGCAGCAGAAACCCTGAAATTGTGCAACAATGTGCGGTGCAGTACGCTTAATTTTTCCTATCGGGGTCAATTCACGGTTTGGATCACAAAACCATTTTTCGTACTCCGCCTGAACTACCTTTAAAAAGTTTATTTATACTAACGCCGTGGTTTGTATAACACAGACTCATCCCTCCAGGAAGATTACAAGATCACTGCCTAGGCTGCGCGTGTTTCTTTTTTACGTCGTCGTGAGATAAAAACAAATGCGTCCATAATCATTGATGGTGGATTGAAGAGCCTACCGAACGGCGTTCCCATACATTTCGGAGCCAATCACGCATCTGATTTCGTCATCCACCCCTTCTCTTTGGTTTCGAATCGGACATCATCTGGAACAGCTTTCATTCTTAGGTGTTTTAAGGCTTGTTTTCCGTTGAAGATTAAGAAGGGGAAGTTGCACCCGCTGCTGTTATTGCCAGCATCATCACTGTTACGCGTTGTTTTACCACATCCCCAAGTTTTAATGATAACTTCCTTAGTCTCCTTCTCCGTATGGTGTAGTTATGAGCTATCAACCAAATTGGGTCTCGTCAGCGTTGCCAATTTGCTTCATTGAAAAATTCTTTCCTTCCGAAGTGTGATGACATACCGCTGAAATGTTAGAGTTTCCTCAAAATCTGCAGAAGCTTTTGGCATAATTGTTGTACGGCGTCTTAGAGATAAGCCCATCCGCTTCATAAACCGATCCACCCATCCACGGTAGCCTTAAACTCTTGTTTCGGTATTCCAAGAACTTCACCTCCTCTTTTGCTTATTTCTTATGGTGTCACTAGTCACAGGTTGTTCATTTTCTTCCTTCACGTACAAATTCCAAACTTTTTCTTCAATTTAGGGTGTCTTCCTTTGCGAGAGCCAATTTTCTTTCTACTAGCTTAGTTGCAAACAGTGCCAATTTGTCTTGCCCCACAAGCGAACACTGCTCTCAGCTACGTTGAACTCTCCCCTGCCTTTTATTGCCATTTTTTTTCGCATAAAGAATTACTTTACGTTTGAAAGTAGCGTCATATGACATTCTCCTCTGTTTGCCTCCCTTTCGGACTACGTACTCTGCAGTTTGTATCCTCTAGCAATATGTGTCAACGATAAAGGTAACGTAAATCTAGTCGACAAATACAGTAATCCATTGTTACGATTTAAATTTGGTGGACGTCATCGGTGAACTTTGCACTCGAATCTAATGCGCCATCGAATCTAATGCGCACCCCAATTTTGAATATTACATTTGGCCAAAAACGATGCGCATTACATTCGCGTAAATACGGTAATTTATATAAAAAAGGCTAAACATCACTGAATGGAAGCATAAGAGTAAATAACTATTTCAGATCATTATTATAATTTATGTAAAAACTGCTAAACATAACTGAATGGATGCCTGCATCACTATTTCGCTACCGAGTTATCACTAAAGCATAATTTCATCTCGTTGGTTGTTCAAACATAATTTTCTATAATGAATGATGCCTTTTCTTTGAAAAAATTCCCGATAAAGTGCAGAATTGCCCACTTATTTGTTTGCCGCTTTTTACAAGGGTAAAAACAATTGGATTTTTGTCAATTTTCTTTTAATTTTTAAGTGAAAATAGATCGATGTGTACATAGATAAAGGGTGTGTGCAGTGCCATTTTTGTGCAATTCTGTGATTTTTTTTTGGGGGGGGAGAAGTGAAAATAGGTCGATGTGTACATGGATACCGAGTATGTGCAATTCTTAAAAATGCGTCAAGCAGTGGGTGATTCTGCACTTTACCCAAAATTCTATTGCAGACTTTTCGTCATGGGCAATTCCCAAATTGTTAAATCCATAGGATATCAAAAAAGGATTTAAAATCAAAAAAAGGATTTAAAAATTGAACTAATATTTCAATGGTGTCTCAAGAAATATAGAACTATATAAACTTACACAATCTGAAATCAGTGCGTATGCTAGATTTGTCGTTTTTGCTGCGCATACACTTTCGCTTTTTTTACGGTCCTCAAAACGGAATAGTACCAAAAAGGTAAAGTCAGAGAAACAAATTCGAACAAAAATTTAAATTAGCTAACTTTTTATTGGAGATAAAAATGCTAGGCTGGTAAAGTAATCTCCCACATTTACTGGAAATACAACACATAATTGTAAGCTAATTTAATGCAAAACAAAGCATATAAATCAAGATGGATACTGGTCACATACACAAATCTAGTTCTTAATGAAAAAAAATACTGCAAAATATATTCAGTTATGATTAAGAAACTAATGGCTTTCATTAGCATTCAGTTATTAAACGATTTACACTTTCTGTTACATATTGTTACGCTATTTTCTTCCTTCATGTTCGTACGGGGTTCGTAGATTTGGAGTGAATAACGACGACACTTGATGAGGTATCGAAACACGCTTTATTTACCAATATTAATCAGATAGCTTCAAAATCACTTTTACAGTTGTCGAACTGTTATAAACACGCTGACACGTTCAGTGATACAACCTTCACACTGTCAAGCAATAACGGTGGAGACAGCTTCACTGCAAAGCACTGGAGTACAGCTCCTAACTCTGCTTGGTCGTTCTCGGAACTCCACGTACTCTTGAGACTCCCCACACGATGCACTTGACGATACACAAGAGTATAGCTCTTGACTTAGCACACTCTAAGACAAAACTCGACGATGCACTAAAAGACTCTCTCGATGCACTGGACAACAAACTCGGCGCTAGACTTCGAGACACTCAATGACTGACTATCAGCTCGCTAGATGAGGCACACTCTAGCTGACTGCGGACCAGCAGGGTTTATATAGCTTTCGGCTTGTGTTCGAGAACATCCTGGGCTAAACCGGTAAGAATTCGTTCCAGAAGGTTCTCCATCCGTTCATGGCATATCACCTATTTTCTCGCCAAATGAGGCAACCCTAAAACTGCTTTGCGGAGGAAGCTATTTCACCGCTCCTGTACATTTTGTAACAATATGAATTCCACAGTCTCATCTATTATTAAGTGTCCACATGATGCTTCTAAGCAGCATATAAATGTGAACTAAAATTAAAGGGAATGTTTAGCACTATATAGCAATTCCCATATCATCAGCATTGTAGAAATCTCCAGTCAGAATCCCAGAAGCTGCTTCAATAACTTGCCTTCATTTAAATACTAATTCGTCATTCATAGATACAAAGATCAAAATACTGAAATGTAAGCTTTTTTCCACTCACTATATAACAGTTCTGAATATCAAAAGGCAAATTCTTTTCATTTTTCCATGTTTTTGAAAAGGTTTTCAAACAGGAAGATATTTTGCTTTTACTTACATTTGCAAACAAGATATAAATTTATAATTTACATTTTTGGTGGTGAAAATTCATATGGAAGCAATATGCAGTGCTTTTATCCCAATTTTCATCAAACCTTGCAAAATCAAGAAAAATATTAAAATACAGCATTTTGTACTGCTAACAATCTGCTAATCTTCTTAACTTCTCAGAAACAGAAAATTAAGAAATGTTTCTTTTCATATATGTATAAATGCTTATATAATTAACTTCAATTGATATCTATTGAACTAGCTTTAGGAAAATTTGCAATTAAAATAAAATTGCTACGTGAAGATGCATGGAATAATTTACAGAAATCATCAAAATTCTGTTGAAGAAGTGTAAAACACGCATTTGTGATCTCTGCAGCATCATTTAACATTTAACAAAGTATAATATTTATAATTAGCATTTGTACATGTATTCTCAGCTCAGGGAAAGGACCACATGTTCTTTGCCTAAGCTTCCATTGATAAAGTTATATTTAGATTCACAGCAGCAACATTTTGCTTTGTAATACATAAATTTTATAAATTTAAAATGGAATATAGAAACCTACTAATAATTCAAACATACTTTTAAAATCAGAAATTCAAGAACGCACAAGATTTGATTTATGCCACAATTAAAGAAATATGCTATTGCTTAAAAATTGAAAATAAGATGAGATAAAGAATTTTACAATAATTAAATTAGGATGAAATAAAAATTATACAATAATTGTAGGGTTTATTTTAATCAATACATTACTGTTGATGTTAAAGCCTGTGCTATAGTCCTATTGCTTTATCTACTACACCAGAAAAAATAAAGAGATTTAAATAGGAATAAAAATTTAAGTTTAGGAGACAGAAATGACAACTTCAATCAGCCATACTGAAACTCTTCTTAGTCCAGCATAAACACTATTGCTATCAATTAAAGAATTTTCTCTACTTGAAAATTTTGCTAATGTTTAATCATAAACTAGATGCTGGGATTTAACTTCAAATTAGCAGAGTATGTGCAAGGATATAAATTTTAAACTTTTCAGTTCGAAATAATATTTAAATTTATTGTAGTCAATCATCTTACAGGAAGCAGAAATAAATTTTGTTAGTTAATTTAGTTCTGTACTTTGGGCTTGGTCCAAATAAACCTTTAGTTGCTTTATTTCTACACGGATAGTTAAAGATAAGCTACAAATTCACCTAGTAGTTTAGAAAATTAGATTAGTATTTAGATTGCACCAGATTGAGTTTAAGCTTACTATTTGAATATGAATATGAAATAAATCTATCTTACTTGGCCATAAATTGCAAAGCATTAGTGAGATCTGCAGAAAGAACAGAGTTGAGTCCAGTAATTAACTTATAGTGGTAAGTGATGAAAAAATTGGCCAAACCTGTTACACACAAAGACAATGCAAGGAGTGAATAGCCAATTTTGGGCCACCTAAAATTGGGGAAAAAAGTAAATAGAGAAACAAGAAAAATCTTAAAAATTTAAAGAATATTTCATACAGAGTATCTTTTCAACCATACCAAAGATAATATGAGGTAACAATAAACTCAAATTTTAGGGAGAATAATTATATTATGCAAGATTTTCTTTGGAACAGGATTGATATTAGCCACAGAGACACTAACCTTATTTGAATTTTTTTATATTTACCTAGTAAATTTTAAAACAGTTGTAATTAATTCATTTTAACCCATCATAATAATCTGCACTTAAAACAACTCTTAAAGCAAAAATGTCTGTATTTAATAAATGCATAATTTATTACATCAATATGCATCAAATATCAACCTTATATATTACTGTTAGAAATTTTCAGATTGATCTTACTTGAATTATATGGATTCCATTTAAAGGGCACAAAAGCTTAACTTTTAAAGGCAAAATAATTTACAGCACTAAATTTTCAAATTGCATTTGAATGAAGTGATTAATAAGCTAATTCCTCAGTACCTGAAAAACATTTACATGCATAATTTGTACTATTTTTATACATTATTTATATTATTCATGTTGTGTATGTATAGTCAAACTAAAATATTCTATAAATATTTATAAACATATTTATAAGTTATGAAGCATTCTATCATAAAAATTTCAAATTTAATTTATATTCACCAGTTTCTATTTTGTGGACCTCTTTGGAAAAACTGTATCAATAAATCTTTCTTAGATATTTTTAAAAAGTCTTTACATGCAAAATTTGCTGCAGATGCAATTGTAATTAACAGTCAATTAATTGTAAATTAATTAAGCTAAGCAGTAATTAATTTACTATTGCTTGGCCGTAAATTCTAATATTATACTATTAACTGCTGCTTGAAGTCTTCAGGTAACTAATTTCCAATGTCATCATATCTAAAATATATATTTTGAATTTGAACATACTTTCACATCATTTATCATTATAATAAATAAAATAAAGCTACTACTACTACTAATCGAATAAAGCTACTGTCAATAATATTCTTTAACGGTTGAGAGATTACATGCAAATTTCTAACTTTTACATACAAAACAATACAATATTGAATTAATAATAGGCCATAGTAAAACCTGTCATTTGTTTATAGTCAGGACATATTAAATGCAATTTTTACTTGCAATAAATTCAAATTTTATTGCTAATAAAATTTTTATTGGTCAGAAAAGATTAAAATTGATAAGTTGATCTCGGAGAGAAAAAAATATTATTTATATATTAAACTGTATTTTTTCTCACTAATATATATATATATACATATTAATAAATATTAACTCTAAATAGTTGTATATTTAATGATAGAGTCTTTCAAAGCCGTGAAGTAGTATTCTTAGGTTACTTAGTAGCATTTCTTCACTTTTATATTGTTATACTTTGAAGATCATAAAAATTATTTCTATATATTTAAATAAAAATGTAACAGAAAACGTATTCCGTGGCATTACATAAGAAACATAAGAAAAATTGTGACAGAACTCTAGACCAACTGTGAGCAGCTGTGCCACTCAATAGATTAATTAAATTGTTTTTGAACATGTAATTTAATTGCAAATTTTTCAGCAAAAACAAATAAACATCCATCTACCACATCAAACAAATAAAAAAGCATCATAATTTTTAGAGGGGTTGTGGAAGATAAAGTGAAAAAAATAGATACTTTATCTACCTACAAAACTGTTATGTTAATATTTCCTGAAGTCAAATAGTGAATTTACTTTACAAATAATTTATTATTATGGGAGCAGAAAAAGTAAATAGCTCTGAAATTCTTTTAAAGAACTCCAAAAGCAACATCCATTTCAGTTTTAGAAAGACCAATAATATTTCATACAACAATGAAAATATAGTAATTTTTTTCCCTTTTTTTCATGGCAACAGAATGAATATATGATTTGCTTTGTAAATACAAAGGTGCAATTTTTAAGCTTATACTCAGAATTAAAAAAAAATAATAATGACAATAGTTCAGCAGTTTTTTAGTAAAAGATCGCAAAAGTTCAATAAATATAATCAAACTGCAATATTTACAATTACATGCTTTATCCCTTTTATATTTTTCATATACAGTCCAAAGTCGTTAATTCGGACACCCATAATTCGGAATGATCTATAATCCGGACCTCAAAACTAAAAACTTTCTGCGCATGCGCCGCGTTGACACATGCGCATAGGCGTCTACGCGTGCGCGTAAGACCTTTAACGACTGCGCATATGAGTGTGCGCAAGTGCAGAATACGTTTTCGCGTGCGCGTTTTATGTATAATAGACGTATAAGCTAAAATTATCTAATTATCTATTTCAGTTAATGTTGATGATTGCGTTGTTCCTTTTTCGAATTGGATCCGGCTTATTATTTTTTGCAGACTGTTAGAGCAATTTTATAAAAGTAAGCTTAAACTTTCGATTATATCAAATAGAATTTCCGATATATATTTGTTAATATGTAAAGGATCTAAAGCGAAAGTATGTTTTGAAATCCGAAATCTGTTTATCAATTTCACGCTGCTCGGGGGGGGGAACGCAACGGCGGGCGCATAATGAATTCGAAGTTGATTTGTCAGCACTATCCTTATCTTCAGCGCAGATGTTTTTATTTTATTTGGCTTATAATTCCTTACCAAATGTAGTATTTCATCTCGATATGCTCCCTCTTTGATATGATTTAAAACAAGTTTCTCGTCATTATAATTCGCTTCCGATAGCGAAGAAAAGTAACAGAGGTTATTGAAAACGAAAAAATTTCAATTGACAAATTAGTCGGTGTTCTTGACACAGCAATTATAGGACTTGAACAGCGGAACTTTGTAACTGAACAAGAAATTATGTCTGTTTAATAGAATTAAAGAGAAAGTATTATTACATGAAACGAAGCAAAACTTAAACAACTTACATTGAAAGAAATGTTTAATAAAGTAAACAAATAAATATTAAGCTTTTTCTTTTTGCAAATTATGATACCCTTTAGATCATAATTGTTCTTTATTTCATAAATTACGGTTTCATATTTTTAATTTTAGAATTTCTGCATGCCATCTTACGAGATTTAAACTGATGATCTATAATCCGGAAAAATCGATAATCCGGAATCGCCGAAGTCCCGACGAGTCCGGATTAACGACTTTTGACTGTATTCCTTTCTCATTTATTTAAATGATAATGAATATTTTCTTTTTAGTCCGTTTCCTATATATAGCTATTAAATTTGGAATTCAATTACATTTCTGTTTTTGGTTTTAATATGTTGATATACTAAATCAAATTAGAATAATTTTTAAAGTAATTAAACACTCTGAAGGATTTAGATTAATTTAAAGCATTTGAACATTTTTGATATCAGATGAGCTGATACATATTGTTTCGTGCATACGAGTTTGTAATACTCGTAGAATGAATGCATACAGAACTGATTGTAGCTTGATGAAATTCATTTTACAAAAAAACACTTTACAGTTACAGTTCTGGAACTTTGCACAAGAATATTCATAAAGCTCTTCTCAGAATCCAGAGCACAATCATTATCTATACTTCAAACTACTACAAATGTTAAATACAATGCAATACAAAGTGCATCCTAAAAAGGCGATGATTCTATGGAGCACTGAACTAAACAATTCAGAAACAGATACTCTCTCCAGTCTCATATAGTTTTTCTCAGGCCGTTGAGAAATCTCTAGTACTTTTTACTTTTCGAAATTACTGGAAAGCATATGAGGGCGGGATACAGTTACATTTACATATATAGATTAATTACATTTATTCAATCACAATACCACTTACAGTTATACATGGACCAGACCAAAATATCGCAAACAGTCGCCAAGTTTGGTGACTTTTGGCGATTTTGCGCCATATATGGTGACAAAATCGGCAGCTTGGCGATATTTTGCCAATTTAGCAAAATAGCCATTTAGTTAACGTTAATTAGATTGCATTCTAATTTTTCCGGCATAGCTTCACCTCTTTAGATATTCATGTTACATTATACAAAAGATACTACAATTTAACGTATAATTTCACTAAAATTATTTACATATATACAAAATTCATAACAATATTTAAAATTAAATGTCACATAATATTTGAAAATTGTTCGCAATGCTGTTACCATTTCTAAGAAAATACAGAAAGCCGATATTTATTACAGCTATTTACACAGATACAGCTATTTACATTCAAAACTCAGCTATTTACATAGATAAGTATGAATAAAATATTACATACCTCCACAAGGAATATAAAAATAAAGGACTGATAACAAAAAACTGCATGTCATTGGCCAAATACCAGCTCCAAGCCATGCACTAAATTGCAAAAAGATTGTTCTTTTTTAACGTTTTTACGACAGTAAATAATTACATAAAACTTGATTGCAAATATGTATATTAGCTGCATGAAATTTATCATGCATATAAATATTATTCAAACTATGAGTTTCAAAGTTCAAAACTGGGCTTCTGTTTAAACGATTTAAAAATATAATAATAAAAGATTAAAAAAATATAATAATAAAAGATAAAAGATAATAATAAAATAAATATAATAAAAGATTATATTGGAAGTCAAGAAAAAGAAATCTTTAAATAAAAATTTCAGCTTTCCATAAATAATAAAACATGAAATTAAAAAAAAAAAAAAAAAAAAAAGAACTAAGAAAATTTAATTAATAACAGGATAGGCCAAAAAAAACTTGCTATTAAACTTAGCACTGATTCAAGATGGAGATTAATATATATTTTTATTTCTATTACTAATTTACATTTTTATTTTTCGGGTTTATTCTACTGATGAATTCTTATATTAATTTTAGAAATAAAGAATAAATTTTGGTATTCATACGAGGGCCATCCAGGAAGTAAATTACGTTTCCGTCTGTGTCCGCTAGGGGCGGGGCTAGCGCGGCCATCTTGGGGTCAGAGCGTTGCGCAGCTCAGTCTGCATCTAGCCGTGCTAGTGAGAGGTTCATGCTGTGCTCCGTTCAGATACTGTGACGGTTTGAAATGTCTGCGTTAATTGAAAATCCCGCGAGCTGCGAGGGGCGCTCAGTAATAAGGTTTCTGACTGCAAAAAACTGTAAACCGATAGAAATCTATCGGCAGCTTCGTGAAGTGTATGGGGACAACATTATCACTGAAGGTGGAGTGCGTCAGTGGGTCATAAGATTTCAAAATGGCCGAACCAATGTTCACGACGAAGATCGAAGTGGGAGACCCAGCATAGTGACCACCGAACTTCTCGAAAAAGTCGATGCTAAAGTCCGTGAAAATCGAAATTTCACAATAACGGAACTTTCTTTGAGTTTTCCACAAATTTCGCGAAGTTTGTTGCACGAAATCATCAGCGAAAAGCTTGGTTACCACAAGTTTTGTGCAAGATGGATTCCAAAAATCTTGACAGAGGATCACAAAAATCAGCGAATGGCTGCAGCGTTGAACTTTTTGGACGCTTACCATAAGGATGGTGACTCTTTACTCGATCGCATCGTTACTGGTGACGAAACATGGGTGAAACATGTGAACTGTGAAACGAAATTGCAATCAATGCAGTGGGGGCACACAAGTTCTCCCCCAAAAACCCAAGAAATGCATGCAAACAATGTCGGCAAGGAAGATGATGGCGACTGTTTTTTGGGACAGAAAAGGTGTAATTTTGGTGGACTTCCTGGAAAGAGGCACTACAATAAACTCTCAAAGGTATTGCCAAACTCTCCAAAAACTCAGAAGAGCAATTCAAAACAAGCGCAGAGGAATGTTGAGCTCTAAGATCTTGTTGATTCACGACAACACACGGCAAATGTCACTCGTAAAGTTCTTGAATCTTTTAAGTGGGAGTTGTTTCCTCATCCGCCGTACAGTCCCGACCTGGCACCGAGCGACTTCCACCTATTCCCAGCAATGAAGAAGTGGCTGGCTATGCAGCGTTTTGATGACGACGCACAGCTGCAAGAAGAGGTAACGAAGTGGTTGAAGGCGCAGGCGGCCGAATTTTTCGACGAAGGAATTTCCAAGCTCGTACATCGCTACGATAAATGCCTTAATTTGTATGGTGACTATGTAGAAAAGTAGTATTTGAGTGTGGCTTTCATCTGTATATAATAAAATTTGTTTCCTATACTTTGTTTATTTTTTTATTCCAAAACGTAATCTACTTTCTGGATAACTCTCGTATTAAATGCAATACTAGTTTGTAATAAGAAGAATTTTGCAGTAGTTATACAGAATGGCTTAATTGTAATTAATATAATTTTGCCGATTATTAGTATTTCATCTAATTTTCACATTCCTTATCACTACTTCCATATTTTGCTAGCCTGATTTGAAGAACGCTCGAAGATGACATCATGACATTCTTTCTAAATATTAATTACCAATTAAAGTGACTTAAAAGGTGATAAAAACAATTAAATCTGTACCCAGGTACTTATAGTTTCTAAAGAATCTAGTTCTGTAACTTCACAGTGGATTTGAAGCAATTATCATTTGCTATTGATTTGTCAGAAGCATTCATATTTTATTTTTAGCTGCAGCTGAAAGTAGTACACAAGTATATTTAATTTTTAACTAAGTTTGCATCATTTAATCTAAAACTTTATTCATAAAATTACCTGAATGCTGATAAGCCACTCACAGGGGAGCTCTAACATTTTATTATTTAATTTCTAGAAAGGAAACTCATATTTTAAAATAAGCTAGATGTTATAGGTTTTACAGTTTTTTAACTGATTAAGGGTCGGGTTAGAATTTTGTTATTTATGGAAATTTCTTTAGGAACGTTTTTCATTTTCTTAGTATTAAAAGTTTAAGGTTCACATAATCGAGGACCGCCCATTTTTTTAGCTTTGTTTAAATTGTAATAATTTCATTTTTAAGTGAATTCTTTTGCTCATTAATTTGTAATTGCCTTTGAAAGTCGAATTTGCATTTAATGTATCTTAGGCAAAATTTTGTTTTTTAGAGTAGTCATTTTCTCATAATGTAGTATTTTATTCATTTTCTCTTCTTTCCAAGTAGTGTTCGAGTACATGTAGGAAAAATTCTGAATACATTCTGAGATTCAATCTTTTGGTTTTAATTGAATTTTGACATTTTTATTGAAAATTTAACTGAATCTTTTATCGTTTTTGATCTCAAATGATTCAGAAGAATGAAACATGTATTCGAGACACATTAATCGACTTTTTTGAAACTTTAATTCATTTTCTCCTCATGAATTCTGAATTAGGTTTTCAGACAAAGGAGATTAATATGTATTCTTACTTCTATTACTAATTTGGATTTTTATTTTTTGGGTTTATTCTGGTGAATTCTTATAATATTAATTTTGATTATGCTTAGCTACAATGTTAAACCTTTTATCCACAGTTGCAGTTATTAATATTGTTAGGAAATTACCTTGCTTTGATTCCAATTTAATCTTAATTTTGGATACTTTAAGTTTAATTTATATCTATATCTATATATATATACATGTGATGATTTATTTTCATGTTCACTAACTTTTAGAAAGATTTTGTCAATGTTCATATATACATCCATGGCAATAAAAATTAGTTTCAAAAGTTATCTTTACTGACTTAATTCCAACATCTTACATGCATATGTGTGTGTAAGATATAAAATAGGAAAGAAAATTATTAACTTTAATTCTTCATTTTAATAGTGCTAAATCCCTTTCCTGTCTTAAAACTAATTGCATCAACTAAAATTTAATCTACATTATGTTATCTCCAATGTGACAGCTCTTATCCAATCACCAATCAAAATTTAAACAAAGAGACCAACTCTATAAATACCTCAGCAGCTCAATACACACTTTTTCGACTCTCTCTTGCCTTGTTAGCATGCATCTGAGCTGTGCTGTACTGTCTGTTGTTTAAAGATGTTATAACATATGTAAAATTGTGGTGGTGCTTATTGCACTCATAAATGATATGTGATTGAAGATATATATCAAGCATGTTCAGGAATAAATTATATGTTGAACTTGGCATGTTTGTTTCCAAGCTCATCATTCCATCTATACGATGAAAATGTAAAATAAAAAAAAAATCAGTAACTCAAAATTGTAACTTAAATTAGCAATAGCCCCATAATTCCTCATTTTAATTTGTGTATCTACCATTGCTGTTCTAAATTGTTTATAATAATTTTTCTGGGTTGCATCTTTTCATTTCATACTTGCTTACATAATCCTCCCACACTGTAACAGCTCATATCCAATTGCAGATCCAGTATTTAAACAAAGAATTCAAGTTTACAAATATCACTGCTACCTAATGCACAGAACTTTCTTCCTGCTTTGCTCACCTTGCTGCTATGTGGGGTGCATAGTGCACCCATAAACATGATGTGTTATTGGGAAGTATAAGTATAATTAAATAGTGTTTGTTCTTTTCTGCCACAACTCCTAGTTTTTCTTCATTATACATCTCGGGTAACTTTGCAGCAAATCTCCTAAGTTATTACAATGCAAAGAACTATTGGCCAGTCCATAGCAGCTATTCTCAAATCATCCCATTTCATATATATACACATACATTTTTCGTATATATAATAGCTAACTAAGTAATAGGAAGAATATAAATTGAGTGTTTTGTTTTTGTTTCAATTTTGAATTGTGTTCTTATTTAGCTACTTACCCACCCTCTCTGATTTAATTAATATTACAGCATACTTTGTGACTATCCTTGACAGAATGACACATGCAAAAACAGGCAAGATTTTGGAAAATTGTTGACCCTTGATATACATAAAATTATATATCAGAGATATGTCATAATGTAGCTAATCTTCCATAAGTGAGTTGGCATAAGTTGGCACCAAACTATTTTGGCCAACAAAATCTGGCAAATTTTTTTGGCAGCAATGGCAGCACTAGGTGTAATTTTTAAACATAAACAGAATAGTAACTTTTAAGCTTTGCAGTAGTGAAAAGCCATTATTTTATGTAAACAGAACAGAGTACTTACGTATTAACGCCACCGCAGCAGCAGATTTGGCGCAATCTACACCTAAAATTTTTGCGACAAATCATAAATTAAAACACTTTATTTAAAATCAAAGTAGTAAATCAGATTTTGGTGGAAAATGGGCCGATATAGAGTTTAACATAGATTCAAAACAGTCTCTATTTTCTTTGACCTGATGCTGTCGCCATATGAACTCTGTAAATAAGATTCTAAATGATGTCTCGCTGTCCACCTATACCTCTTGTACCTCCATTTAGCACTGCCCCACATTCTCTCAACTGTTTGTGTATGAACTTCTGTATCAGGATTAATAAAATTGTATTCATGATTAACTTTAGCATGTAGAAATCCTTCGTTTTCTATTCTATTTGTTTGGTAAATTTTCCAACTATCAGAATAAATTTGTGCTACCATCTGCAATGCTTTCAATACTTTTATTACGAAGGGTAGAGCCAGTTCTATTAGGAACAGTGACAACAAACAAATCTTTTGTTTCTCTACATATACCAACAAACACCCACTGTTCGGGTAATACTCGACCACAATTATTTTTACGCTTAGTAAAGAAACTTTCATTAATTCCGACAATGCAATCTGGTCCACCTACCTTCTTGTTTGGTTTCTTCTCCATATCCAAGACACATAATTCACGCATGTAATTGTTCCAATCTATAACAGTTTTATCCGATAAATCAAGTTGCTTTTCACAGAATTTAATCACAGTCAACTCCTCTCACTAGCAGTATATGAATCTCAAAGCTGAACAAAATTGAATTCTGTTTCCTTCAAACCAGCTTTCCTAAGTCCCAACTGCTGATCACACTGTCTTAAATTACATTTCCAAAATAAAGTTTCATATCATGCGAACTGGTACATTTTTTTTTTTTTTTTTTTTTTTTTTGGTAAAATATTTTGCTTCTGAAAAAATAAAATTGCATCTTCTTCTGTATTTGGCAAATCCTAAAGACGCATTTTCGTAGCACTAAAAAATGGCGCCAAAAATCAGCAAACAACAAGGCAAAAAGGAATCCAAAAGATAAGTGGATTGCTCTTTATTGGCACATCAGCACAACTTCTGCTACGTGGTGTTAATACGCAAGTACCCAGAACAGTAAAATGAGATGATAAAATACTAGATGAGCAAAACATCATCAGGTACAAAACAAGTAAAAACATAATCCTATCTATGTAATTCATAATAAAATAGTATAATGAATAATAAAGCAATAAATTGTATAACATTTTCCTGGGACTCCAAAATTGCCAAACAAGTAAATATATTCAAATTCACTAACAATGGATGCATCATAAACTCACTACAATATACAAGTTTCTGTCCTCCTGGAATTCAACACACTAAACAACTTCCGTTCAAAAATTTAAACATTCCATATCTTTCGATTGTCACATGCAAGAAACAAAACTAAAAAAAATAATTAACCGACGTGGGAAAACATTAACTAAGTAAAATTAAATGAAAACATTCATAAATTATAAACTTCAGTCATCTGAAATCCAACATTCTCCTACCAAGAACAGTTTAACCTCCTGCAAATATTACACAGTAAAACTTTTAAAAACAAACACAGTATTCCAAAATTAAATTTAAAAAAATCTTTTGGGTGAATCAATCACTGAAATAGGTTTGCCACAGGGAGACATACAGCCGGAAACCACAACCAAATCAAAATCGCCCCAAATAAAAAACTCTCGCCAAGTTTGGCACTCACCCCGATTATGGAAGGTTAACCCATAAGGTACTATATACATGTTAGTTATTTTTTCATAAAGAATAATTTAATAATTATCATAATAATAATTATTAAATTTCAAAATATATAAATATTAATAACTATAATAATTATTATTAAATTACAAATAATTATACATTAATATATGAATAAAATAAAAATTAATGTATAAATTACAAATAATTATACATAAATAGTACAATAAATATAATATAAAATAATTTAATAATGTAATAATCATTTAAAACTTTCAACATATACACAGTAAAAAGATTACCTGATCAGCTGATTTTTGAAAATTGTTTATATAAAGCAAATTCCACCACCAATAATTTTTGCAGTTAGGATCTATTTCTGTTTCAGGCCAAAATGGGCCACAGCCCAGATAATAATAAACAGTAGCAGAAAATGCAAGTGTTATCATATACACAGGTGTAAGCCTAAACAAAATTTGAAAAAAAAATCATATTATTAATAAAAATTTAAAAAAATGGAATAACAAAATTTTTAATATGCAAAATTTCTGGAAGAAAAGAAGTATTTAAAGTAATAACTGGCATTGTATAATTGCAGAAAGTATTATACAATAATTATTTCATTTACTTTTATGTATGAAGATTTCTGATACATTTTGCTCACTTCATTTAAATGTATAACTCTCAAAGATTTCTTCAACAAATATACTAAAATAATAAATAAGATTTAACAGGAATATTGTACTGTACTTATACAGTGTTTCAGAAATGTTGATAAAGAGATTAAATTAAATAACTGAATGCAATTAATAAATCCTTAGAAAATTAATTGCATACTTCATAAACCATAAATTAAAGCAAGCTTAAATAAATTACAGTTAAACATTTTAAAAACATGAAATGCTATTAAAGATGCTATAATTATAGTCTATATTAGTAAGATGGCATGGTTGGAAGCAAGTTACTAATGTCATATATTATAATCATTGATGATATTTTTTATTGATTTTCTGCATAAAGTTAGAACTAATTTGAATATCACAGAAACATCCAATAATTTGCAGTTATTTTATTTACTTTATGGCAATGAATTTCATGCTGCTGATAATGCTGCACAGAATATTTTTTTTTTTTTTTTTTTTCAGAATATCACAATAGATAAAGCTTGCAAAAAAATTGTTTCCTATTTTTGTCTGATCATGACTTACTTTGCACTATGGACTTAATTATTCTTAGAATTTTACTAAAATTTCCAGAAATAAATGACAGTTTAATTGTTTCTAAATACTAATGTTATAAAGAAAATAATTTACTTAAGCTAATTTTACTTCCACAGAAAATCTAAACTAAAACTCTAACTTTTCATACATGTACACATGCATATTTATGATGTAACTGTACTCTCTCTTGCCATATTAATATCTTTCATTCATTTTTTTTAATTCGATGCTTCACTTTTGCTGCACAAAAATATTTTTCAAGATAAACTGTTAGACTACAAAAAATTTGCCTGCGACAATAAAAGTTTTAAATTTAAAACTATAATGTGTAGTTAGTGGTACCAAAATTACAAGTAACAGCATTTCAGAAAAAGTGAACTATAGTATGTTAACTGCATATTAATTCATACGTACTTATCGGTTTTACTGGTAACCAACTATTAATCGCAAGATTTGGCATGTTTATAGCCAAAAAATAGCAAACTAAGAATCAATTAAAACTTTTTCATGCTCCATTCTCTCATAATAATAATTTGCACATAAACTACAAACTCGAATGTGAGATATTTCTTCAATTTAGGTTCTTCATGCTTGTACAACACACATGCATCCTTGCAAGTTAAAAATCAAACCTGAAACCAAGTAGTTAGAAGTGAGAAATCTCTCTCTCAGTCAGATTCAAAATGATGGCAATTTTTAATTTACCACCAAGTCAGAATTAAGTTATTGCATTTCTACAAAAAGAATACTAACAGGCAACCAAATTTTTGAAAGGATAGTGACCAGCTTTTATTGCATCATTATTGATACTTTACATATAATTTGTTGAAAATTTCATTACAATTTGTAAAATAATATATCTTAAATTACAAACAATTAAAAATATTAAAAAATTACAAATAAAGTATAGACAACAGCACAATAAAAACAGGAAAAACTTATTTTTTAATTATTATAAAAGTTGTGTAATACATGTGCACGAATGCAATAAAATTAATCATTAAATAATGACAGTAGCATAAAACACAAGTTCCTGTAATTATATCAATTTACTTCATTTACAGCTATGATCAAAGTCATCAAACATATTCTGATTTGGAACCTAATTTATATATATATATATATATATTACATATCTTACCTTACATATCTGTGGACATAAAAATAAATCCAAGACATTTTGCCTTCTCTTTTGCTTAATTCTTGTAAGAAAAGGTAAGTGAGAAGAAATCCGCTGTAAAATAAAAATACTTTAGTCTTAAATTGCACATTTCATTTAGCATATGAGGAAATTAAAAGTAGATAAGTCTTACAAAATTGTTTATTTCAGCAAAAACATTATTCCCTTTTTTCTCATTCAGAAAGTTAGAAATACAAATTAATAATTATTACTGTCTTTAAAACATATTTTTTTAATTAGGAAAATTACTAATTTTTACTCATAACTTTCATTTTGGTATTTAGTTGCACTACTGTTTAAACGGAACCAATCTAATAATGTTTTAAATCTATGTAATATGCATAAATCTCATTTTAAGCATAATAATTATACATTAATTTTCTAATTTTAAGAATTATATGACTTACTTTACTTTTAAATAAAATTAATGCACTTTACAAATTTAATCTCATTATTTATAAATATATGGCATTTAAATAATATAATTATTATTTTCATATACTACAAATAAAAAAGAATGTAGCTTATTTTCATACTATAAAAGAGATAAAAAAATACAGTAAAATAGCTTTCAAAATAGCTTTGGTTTTTACAAATTTCAGAATGACTTCATCTTCAAAGCATGGAAAAGATTGTTAGTTAGTAGTTAAAATTAGATGCTGCTAAATATACATAAAAAATTCTACATGCTTGCTTAATAGTTTATCAATACACATAAGTAGGTGTCCTTTGTACGGTTATCAGCTAGTTAGTAACACTAAATGTGCTAAATCAATTTATCTTCTGAAAATAAATTTTTTGGAAAAAAAAAACAAAAACATTTCAATATTATTTTATTTATAAGAATATTGTCAAAATTATCTTGATACATATTATAAATTCATAAGTGAAAATCCCTGCTGAAGTCTTAGAAGTAAAATTTTAGCTTTTAAATGTTATAATAAATTCATACTATATTGTAAGTGATAATTTAAAATGCATTTTAACTGCTTTTTCTTTATTTGCCATGACATATATTTTTAATACAAAAGTAATGCAAGATAGTTTGCTAATATTTACATTTGCTATGTTAGAAAAAATTTGTGGTTCTTGTAATATATATATAGGAATATATCAACATCTGCATTGAATTCCTTTACACAAAAGATTATTCAGAAGTTAAAAATTGCATTATCACATATAGATAACTAACTAAAGATCGTTCAACATTCAACTATGTAAATAACATTCACTGAATATTTTACAATAGTTTACACTAATGTTATATTCTTGAAACATTTAGTAAATTCACAAAAGATACTAATAAGTGAATCAAAAGAGCTTATTTGAAGACACTATTTTAAAACAAACACTAATATTCTAAAATAAAATAACATGCTGAACAAGTATTAATTTAGAGGTCAAACAACAAAAATCAGCATTATATTTGCAAATTTTCACAGGACTAGTTTTGATGATTTAACCGAACCATCATCCTTAGCTGCCAAAGTGCAAATAGATGATGGTTCAGGAAAAACCATTGAAACTAGTCCTGTGAAAATTTGCAAATACAATGCAGATTTTTGCTGTTTGCAAATAAATAGATATAGATATTTTTATGTTTGCAAATAAATAGAAGCTAGAATATTAATAAATTATTCTAGCTTAAAGTTATATTTATGATTAAACATATGCTCCAAGTTTGAAAAGTAGTTTAAATTACAGTTACTTATTCAATATAATTTCAGATTTTTTTTCAAAATATAATGAACTCTAATTTATTAATCAATTAAAAATTCAGAGCAAATGCAGCAGTGGACATTATGATTATAGGGAGAGAGTTAATGTATGTTATAAAACTGCAATTATTTAAAGAGTTTGGGAATAAAAGCTGAATTTTTTATGAATCACTCAACAGGATCATAGGACATGCGTTACATGTCCTGAAAAATCCACGTTTTTTTATATTAGAGTTTTAAAAGGAAAAATTATCATAGGGATATATCATACCTTTCAGTTTTCTATCAGTTTTCAAATTTATAGAGAAAATTACACTTGCATTATATTTTAACAAGAAATTGCCCACAGAATTGGGAGGAAAATTACTAAACTGCTTGGTCAAACAAAGTTTTAAATTATTTAAAAAATTAATACTACTACAGTTTTAAAATACCAATATTTTTGCTAAATTCTTTTGTGCACACCTTGGATATTACATAAATCTGAGCATGGAATTTTGGATGCATTTATTATTGGCAACAAAACAAAAAGAAAATTTAACTAGTTCTTAGTTAAGCTTATATATCAATACTATTGCTAGTTAGTCTTATACTAGTTAGTCTTATATATCAATACTATTGCTCTAACTCTTTTCTTTATTCCTTGAGATATTCTGCAAAAAAGTTCTGTTCGAATTTAGTTTTCTTCTGTCATTAAATTAAATAAATATTTTTTTGCTATTATGTCTTCTTAAAAAAAAGGACAGAATTAAATAAGTTCTTGGGTTAAATATTTTTTTAAAAAGTAACTTTATTAATGTTAATTCCATAAAGGATGTATTTATTAGAAACATAACAAATATGCACAAAAAATTTAAAATATCTACTTTAATTACAGAACAAGTTTTAACATTTTTAAAACATGAATATCAACCAAAACTGAATATTGAGAAAATTAATTCATTTTTAACTATAAAAGTCACCACGCCAAGTAAAAACATGTTTAAGTTTCCATCCACTTTAATTATCACTTCACTCCTGCTTTTTGGCAGAAGGAAATAAAATAATTTGATATTCCATTTGTCTATGGCACTAAAGAATGGTAGCCATTTGAAGATTTTTGTCTCTTCAAATTCCTGTATTAAACATTAAAACTTAATAATTTTTTAAGTATTGAAGATGCACTTCTCAGATTTTTCTGATATATTTTAAAAAATTGCAAGCCAATGAAAACAATTTGATATTTTTACTATTTTCTAGGTATTAAGAAACAAAGCATCTAACAATAAATATAAAGCAAGTTAAATTATGCTAATAATTTCTATCACTGAATAAACACCCACAGTAGGTGAAGACAATAAATGAAAGTAATAAAATTTTAAAACAAAAAAGTGCATTTCAAACCTTAATACAAAAAAGGAATCAACTGAGTAAAATCCTTGAAGTACTATCTGAAAAGGCCAGTTTCTGATAAAATCCATGATTTCCAGAGGACTTTCTGCACAGTAAAAGGTAAACAGTATTATAAGTTACAGCCAGAAAATTAAAAATATGTAGCAAAGAATAAAGAATTAAAAATTAATGAAATAATATAAAACATAATCATGAAGCCTTACTTTTTTTAACTACTATGCAATTAAAAATGCCTTGTCTTTCTTGAAAACCCGTCACAATTTTTATTTACTTTAAATATAACAGGTAAAATTTAAATGATATAGATATTTGATTTTCAGAACATTTCAGCAGTTACAGCATACTATAGAGAGAATACTTTTATTAAAATAAAGGAAACATTATGAATGTTTAGGTTTATTTTACAGTAAAAGGCATATCTCTTCTTTCTATCCACTATGCAATTTAGCTTTTAATTTAATACATTTAAATCTAAGGACATTCTGAAGAAAAATGTATACAGTTACAATTGTGAAGTATACTTGAACAGATGCCTAAACTTTAGTGTAATTATTTCATTTTAAAAATGCACAAAACTTAACATTAGTATGTATTACAGCCTTCAATGTAAAATAAAAATAAATATTTCTGGTAGGATGACAAGCTGACTGGCTTATAAATTTAAATTTTGATCTTGAATTCATTTTTGTATCAAATCAAACAAATTATTAATAACAAAGGCAAATATTTTATTTAAAAAATTAATCTAATAATGGAGAAAAATAACTTACTTATAGAAGCAAAACAAAATGCATAGGTGTGACCAAGTATGACCCATGTCATGCTCAAAAATCTAATTCCATGTATACAAAGCAACTGCCCTTCAGTTCCACTAGTATTCAACAATTTAGAACCATTGCTAAATACACAAAAACACTTAAGAAATGGCTTGCATTTCTCAAGAATTCCTAAAACCAAAAATAATTTTTCAACCATATTAAAATAAGTTTCTAATTTACATTGTGACTAAAACATGCACAGTACACTAAAAATTTTAACTTATCACAAAATAGAAAAAGAAAAAAAAACTTAATTTAACTTAAATAAACTTAATTAAAAAAACTTTCTTAAATTTTATTTCAGAATTCAAGTTTTATTTATTTTTTAAATACAAATTACTTAGAACTGTAGAAAAATAGAAAAGATACTAACTGTGAAATATACTTTTCTCTTCATCATGGTATAAAATATATTGATCACTATGGGTATTGTTGCTTTCTATTGTATTTATACTAATGTTACTTTTTTCAGAAACTTCTTCTTGATCACCACCTTCATATGCACATTTCCTTGATAGCACATTTTTAGGGCAAAAATATTCATATGCTGTTATAGAACTCCCTAGTACTGCCAATAAGCTGAAGAATGATATCAAGCATCTGAAATTGAAGTAACACAAACTGAAGTACAGTAGTATTGTAAAATATAAAAATGAATTTAATTTATATGATAGGAAAAAAGTGCAGTAAATTACATAAACACTATAAAATTATGTATTCTGATGTAATATAATGAATAAATACAACAAATAATATTACAACATGTAATTTAAAAGAGAGTGGCATATTGAAGAATGACAAATTATACATGAATATCTAGATATATAATGTACATGTAAGATATATTAAGAAGCTCGAACACTGAAACCATTTATCAGTGTCTATAGCTAGAGAATAGACGGAGCAAAAGATGTAAATAGGAAACCTATTACTTTGATAAGAATTCTCACTCAGGATTTCATTCCACCTCAATGAGAAAAGCTAAGAATTTCAAACGGAAAAAGATTTTGATGAAAATCGTTATAATATGCTCTAGTAAGAGCATCTGCAAAGGTATTCTCCTGGGTAGGTATTTACCTTATAGCACATTTAACACCTTTTAAAAGAACTGTCTGAAGAAGTTGACACTTCTGTTGTCAAGGCATAGGCTGGTAATATTTCACTGGTCAAATGTCAGCACAGGCTGTTTCATTTGTCAGTGCCAGAACAGGTATTGTGGATATGGTATCCACAATTTCAGTTGTTTTGACAAGGTTTAGTGCATTTAAATATGGAATTCATCATTTTCAAACCTAGAACCTTTGCAGCTGTACACATATTTATAGTATACCTTTGCTCACAGCTGTTCATTGGAATAAGTTCTTGCAATGGGGATGATGATCATTGCTTTCAATACCATATTATTGAATGCAGAAAGATGATAGAAACACAACACGATTTTCACTTTTGTTTTATCAGATGAATATTATGGGATATCAACTGTTCTTGCTCATCTCAATTCATTATGAGATGTACATGTAATCATCATTCACGCAGAAAAGAGCATATATGAACATCTTGATTGACCATAGTGTACACTTTTGTGATGACAGTATTCTCTAGTCAAGAGGGCATCTTCAGTACCACAGTGCTGCATTTCACATTGTGAAGAAAGTTAAAGTATTGTTCTAGCAGCATGGCAAGGAAATATTTTTAGTTCTGTTACTCTCAAATTTGCAAGATGTATATTAAGTGAAGTATTCATGATCTGAATTAAAATATAGTTTCCATTAGCATCGATCAAATCACCTCATTTATAGAAACTGATACGTATTTGTTGTAACCCTGCTGCTAAAAATGACACTCACACATCACTGAATGTGTGTGTGTAATGACAGTATACATCAAAGGATCTTTCATGATAAAGGATTCTCCTGATAAAGGAACTTTGGGACCTTTATCATAAGAGTTCCTTTATTATTGAGTCTACATCATATTAGACAACTGGCTTTGATATTTTGGTTGTTCCATATATATTTACAATATTTTGGTAATGAAATGAAAGTTGTTCATTGCTATAAATGCTCATAGTGGGGAAGATGATCATCACTAAAAACTAAAAAAATGCTTTCAAAATTATGCAAGGAAATCAAGGCTTATGTTTAAAGTATTGTTTACACTATTTAAGCTCCTTTGCTTGATGCCTATGCAATTAAGTGCTAATGTGATTGGGCCACAGGTCCTCAGTTTTAATATCAAGGCCAATGATGATCTTTTTTTTAAAATAGGCAATATAAATTCTTTGAATTAAAGGTAATCATGAGAGGCATTCCCTAAAGAATAATGCAAAACCTGAAACTAACACTTTAAGAATATTATGGTGCATCATTTTTGCAATTTTCCCAGGCTATCTAAAAACCATAAAGTCATTTTATTTAGTGGCTGCATTCCAAAATAAGTGTCATGAGATATTAGCATAGACAAATTTTGATGCCCTGTCTCCATTTATGTTAGATTTCCCTATTCATATCAATCTGAAAAGTTCATAACAACACTTTAAAGTCTCGATTTTTGCATTGTAGCATACAAATGATGTGAAGGCTTCCTAAAATTTACAAAAAAGCCTTTGCTAGTTTTCTGGTGTTAAGTTATAAAAACAAACTGTGCACAGTGTACAAAAAAAATGTCATTTAATACCCTAGATAACAGCTTACAAAGATTTTACATGCATTAATGAGGAATGTTTTTTCCCATGAAATTTTAAATAAAATGAGTTCCAAAGAACATTTAGTAAAAAGCTGTCATTTATTCAGTACAGCCAAAGCTGAAATATGTTACATATTGAAGGTTTCATAATGTATATCAGTCTTACAGTCATTAATAAATATGTGGTAAAATACAAAATAAAGAAAAAATAAGCTTTTATGAAATATTTATATTGAATTGAAACTATTTAAACTATCTTTCATACATAAAGTCTCTATCAAAATGAAAGAAAGTTATAATTAACAGCACTAATATAAAACAATGTTGCTATCATCAAAATTCAAACTGAGGACCCTGGTCTGTAAATACTGATTCTTTATTTCAAGGTCACTGGGAAAGTAGGCAAAGCAAGTAGCTTAAATCATACAAATATTATTTACAAGTTTCATTTTCTCGCTTTTTTTTTAAAGCATTTTGTATACATACTTAATTTATAATTGTCTACAATTATAATTATGGACAGTTTCATTCAGTTGAAATCAAGATATCCACAAGATTGTGCACATCCTTTGAAAGATAAACCCTCGACAGCAAAGGAAGAAAAAATTAAATTATTTATCATAATACACTTACTCCTGAAATGGGAAAATAATAAATAGATATACCCATATGCAGACCGCTATACTTCTTTTTGAAAATATAAAAGGCTAAATATTAGTTAATGATAGCATGAGTTGTTTAATTTTTTTATAATTTATGTAATCAAATTATATCCACGTTTTCTTTCATTGCCCATTGCTTATCATAAAAAGTACACTCCCAATTTGTATCTTCATTTGAGCTATAAAAATTTTAACAAAATGTTCATAGTTAGAAAAACAAAATACCTAATTTCAGTTATTAAGTGCATTTTTAATTCTACAAAAACAGAAAAAAAAATGGATTATGCAAAAGTAGAACACATTTAGAATTTAAAAAAATGAAAAAATCACAAAATTTATATAAAGTAATGAGTAAATATAACTACTCACTGTTAAGGAAATATTGTTTATCTGGTTGAAAACTCTTTTAGTTCCAGAGTTACTAACAGCGATAGTCTCCATTCTATCACTATTAATAACACTGATTATGCTTTAGTGTTACTAATAGCGATAGTCTCTATTATGCTTTCTTTATGCTATTAAGAATTTTGCCATGCAATCTTCCTGTTAAAACCATTTCAATCTAAGTCAAATACAATTTCACTTTAATTTAATTAATTAATAAATTCTAATCGTTCTTATTTCTTCAGTAAATAAAAGAAATTTTAGGTTTCTTCCTTTTTATTACTATTCAAATTATAACAAGAAAAATGTTAAGTACATTAAGGGGAAATTTTCCTGCAGTTACTGTTCTAAGTAAGAAATGCATCATACATGAATGAAGTTCTGTAATGCACAAATAAGGCAGATTCCAACTGATATGCATGTCATTTAAAGAAAAAAATGCTTTAGTACTTCATTGACAAATGCAATGAAAACGATATTGTCAGTGCATTTAAAGTGTATAAATTGCTGCCTTATAATTTGTTTTATATTAAAGATGGAAATTATCATAAAAAGTTCATGTAGCTGGATAAAATTTATTTTACTTATATAAAAAATTATAATTGATTACTATTTTTTTTTTTTTTTTTTTTTTTTTTTTTTTTTTTTGCTAATTGAATATATGTAAACCTAGATTACTAACTGAATTTTCAGATATTATGAATATATAGCTGTCTCACAAAATTATTTGTAAATCATCATTTTGTTGCTGCTAAGATATCAGATCTAATATTCTGTAGCAGATTATGCTACACATTGTAGATGATACAGAATTTATTGGTATCTTAATTAATGCTCTTCTTAAACAGCTTAATTTTAAAATGCACAAAATTTCAAAAATATGCAATTCCATTAAATGCAAATCAAATTAAATTCAAAATATGCAAATCCACTTTTAATTTTCTAAATAACAGATTAAAAAATATAGTGATTTCAGTTCATGATGCAAAGATGAAGTATTACAAGGGAAGTGCAAAACCCTTATATCCTAATAACTTGAAAGCCACAGCATATAATTAACATAGCTAATTAATACTAGTTAGTTGATATGAAAAAATAATATGTGAACTATCTATTTTGCTCTCAGTGTAAAATTATTTCTAGAATAATTTCTTAACTTATGTGTTAACAGTATGTATATAAAAATAATTGAAAATCAACTACTTGCATGGAAAAAAAAATCTTTTTTTCTCAAAATTAATTTCTAGCTTAAGATTTCTATGTATCTACTTCACAATAATTGTATAAAATTTTATATTAATAAAGACAAGAAATAATATTTCTGTAAAATACTTCTAACTACTTACATGACAGCTATTGCAGAAGAATTCAGTTTCTTTGAAGATGGATTGCATTTCAAATCAGTAATATTCAGTACTTTATCAAACTTGTTTAGTACTGGAATAACTTCTAAAAAAAATTGGCACAAAAAATAATAGGGAAATATTTTCATGTGTTTACCAGTAACTAACAATTTTACTTTAAAAATGAATTTACATATATATCCAAAATAAAATTTTTATTTTAATTTACAAACATCCTACACCTCATGATCTAAAAACAACAACATATTTGTAACAACGTATTTGATTTCTCTGAAGAGCATCATTACAAAAGTAATAAATGATACATTCCCACATAATACAATAATGAATATACTTACAACAAAAGTGACACCGAAATCATTTATTCAATAATATTTACACAATACTTTCAGTAACCATTAACAATAAAATGCTACTACAGCCCTCTGTTCAGAAATAAAGTAATTTAGCTATTTTATATCTACCCCAATAACACACGATGATTTATCATTCCTTCCAAGGTTTTGAAAATTTATAGTACAATAACTACGCAAAATGCATTAAAAGAATGCACATTAATAAATAAAGAATCTTCAAAAGTTTACACTTACAAGTCCTATAATGTAACTGTAGATTTCGCCAGTAGATGGCAGTCACAGAGCTAGACAGCAGTATAATGCAAGCATAACATTCATCGGTGAATACAAAAGCTTGTTGCATCTTAAAATTCATTACATTTGGGTCAGTTGTGACAGTACAATGCAGACATCACACAAAATGTCAAATAGAAGCATTTACAGACAAGATGATTTGTGCACGATAGAAGAAGGTTTTTATTTATTTATTATTTTATTTATTTTTAAACAAATGGCGGGCACTTGCCTATAACGGCATTTGGCCACTACTAAGGCCAGAGGTGGTAGCCATTATTGTGGAGGCACCTAATAGGCACCCATCATTACCTCCTATGAAGGGAAAGACAATTTTACATCCATGCCTTCTTCGGGATTTGAACCCGGGACCTTTGGTATTGCAGTCAGGCTCCCCTAACCATTACACTGACTGGGTGGCCCGATAGAAGAAGTTACGGTTACCTATGTAATGTAAAAATGAATAACCCAGCTAGGAACTTTATCTGAGATCAAAGTCTACTGCATCATCAGGGATGCTCATACTGAGCTCTTATAATGTTTGTAAAAATCTTGAAAGGGTTCTTCAAGATTTTTACGTCTGTAAAAATCTTGTAGACAGATCTTCTCCTGTCTTCTTTGGTCTGCTCGAAAGGTATATAGAACTTAGATTTCAAATATCAAGAGGGTGCTGTTTCCCAATCCTTTTTTTCTCCTGTTAAGTATTTTGCATCCTTCATGCTGAACTGCTACTTTATAAAATATTATAAGATAATGTACCAAATGAAAAACTGGGTTCAGAATATCTCAAAAGCAATCGTATTGCATAGTTCAAAATTTTGACCATGACTGATGAATTCAGGCTTTTTCAGATGATTATTCTGTTAAGCCCTTCCCTCTTTTAATTTTACTGGAAGCTCTGTTTTGAGTCATGACTGCAAACTTTCCACAAGTAGTTATTTCAAACAACAGTACAAAGTCTGTAATCCAGACGTCCATTATCCGGAATGATCTATGCTCTGGACCTCAAAGCCACAAACTTTTTTTTTGTTTGTTTGTTTTTGTATGCATGCATGTTTAATGTTTACGCATGCACGTTTAGCACCAAAAACAAAGCAACTTAAACAACTTACATTGAAAGAAATGTTTAATAAAGTAAACAAATAATATTAAGCTTTTTTTTTTTTTGTAAATTTTGATACCCTTTAAATCATAATTGCTCTTTATTTCATAAACTAGGTTTTCTATTTTTAATTGTATTAATTTCTGCATTGCCATCTTACCAAATTTAAACTGATGATCTATAATCCGGAAAAACACTTAATCTGGAATCAGCGAAGTCCCAAAGAGTCCGGATTATGGACTTTGTACTGTATTATTGTTTTGTTTGCCATATCTTTTTGTTTTTGTTTTAAATAGCTTATCAAAAATCAGTTGAATCAATGAAAGAAAATAGTTGCTATGAGTGTGTTGTGACATAACACTATTTATGCAGATGCTAAATCACGCTGCTTGGCTATAATTTCATGGTTGATAAGATAATGTGCAAATACTGATTTCATCAGCTACACATTCTTGTTATATCCTTTTTATTCAATCGAAACATTTTTGAATGAAAAATATGAATATCAATTGAATTAGGATCACAATGACATTAATAAGGTAGAATTCCTGAAAAGAAAATTTTTCAGATTTATTTTTGCTATTACTATGAATGACAAAGTAGGAAATTAAAAGGATGGTTACTTTGAAGTTTTGCCATTTATTCTAAAATACATTGCATGGAACAAAGTTCCAAATACTGTAGCAAGCTTTCCTTACTATTCCTGCAAGTGCTGCAAATTGCGAGAAAAGTTTTCTAAATAAACATCATTTAAGGAGTATTTAAGTACTATGCATGTTTATTTTGCATTTAAGAAGCCTTTCCATACTGTCTACATTACACCAGCTGGATTTCCTTCCCTTGGAATTAAAATTTTCAAAAATAGAGTTCAAATTTATTTCTCGATATGTCATTTTGATATTTTTGGTTATTTGTTTGCATATAAAGAGGGGCAAAAAATTCAGGGACCATCCTAGGCAGCAAAATAAAGGACAGGACTCCCTTGGGAGAAAGCAAAAATTTAGTCAGCTTAATTTTCTTAAGGAAAAAAATATAGTATATCTCATGAAAGTAAATCACGATGATTAATTGTTTAGTTCAGTGTAGTTATATGGAAGACACTCATCTTTGTTCGCTTAGTGTAGAAAAGTATATGACAAATAATTGTACTAACTAAAGGATTAATTTCAAATTTATTTATATATATATATAGTAATAAATATGTACTTAAGACACACTTACTGATAACTTCTAAAATTTCTTTGAAATCATCTTTTAAAATTGATGAGCTACATGTATCTGGAATGCATACCCCTGAAGTGACTGCTAAACTCTAGAATACATAAAATATTATAAGAAACATGTATCTTTGCCATTTGAATATCTCAATTGAATAATTTAGAAGTCTTACAAAGTTTGATAGCTGAGCTGACCACTGAAGGGTACAATATTTTCCATGGAAATTTCCAGCACTCGTATTCACTTGAGGAGGAGCATATACATTTATGCATTCATTATAGTCACCATACCATCTTAAATTACCTTGTAAAATTCCACTTTCTGGTTTTCCACTGGAGTCAATCACTTAAAAATGATAAAAAATATATAGGATTCACATTAAGTTCATTCAAACTTCAAGTTTGGTATAATTATAAAACAGCAATAAATAAATTACAAACATGTTATAAATTTAATAACAATTTAATATTTTGCAAAATATTTTTATTAACTTGTATTACTATGATACAGAATTAAGCATTTCTGATTGAATGTTTAAAACAAGTTCTGCCTAATCCGTCATCCAGGATAAAAAATCAACAGAAGTCCAATTATTATAAAATCTATTAGAGGTAGTTTTTTTTTTTAATTATTATTTTCATATACAGTAAGTACCTTTAAATATGCATACAAAAATTTTTACTTTAGCAAATATAATTTGAATAATTATAACTAATTAATTAGTATCCTTTTTAGCACAAATGCAACAAGTATTTTTCTAAAATGTTAACATAGGACTAAATTAATTAAAGGTTAATTTGAGGTGTTTTTTTATCTTTTAACTGCAGAAAATAATATATAAACTAAATTTTAAGTTCAAGTACAAATTTATTTCATTTCTAAAAAATTTATTCTTATATGCTACAAAACAATAAATATTCAAGAGTGCTTTACAACATTTATCAGAAATATTACTGTATCATAAGTGTGAATGGTTTAACATTCATCAAATCAGTTGATAAATAAAAAGTATACTTTAGTGTTCATGTTTTTTCATTCTATGTTGATAAGTGAACAGAATTTTCTGGATCCTTCACAAAATTTTAAAAAACTTCATTGACGTGTACCAGGTGACACAAAAGTCTGTTAACATTTGAAAATTCAACAACTCATGGAATAATGTAGGTAGAGAGGTAAAAATTGACACATATACTTGAAATGGCATGGAGTTTATTGAAAGAAAAAAAAATGCAAAAAAAGGCCAACATATGGCACTGGGCAGCAAAATGTCAGTGATGCTGCATGAGAATAATCATGTATGAAATGAGCTATAGTGAGAGAGGGAATAAGTCCCTTCATGACTTTGTCACTTTTCTACCCTCTCCTCTGGGTGCTGGTCATGGTGTGATGTGGACTTATCACGTCAACTGTCAGTGTGACAGGTGCGAGGTACGCTGATATGTTATATTAGCTGATGTTAACTCATACCTGTTGGAAGGTATAAATTTTATGCAGGATGGCACTCCATCATATATTGCGTGTGAAAATCCGGAATCCATCCAGAATTCACACGTTTGGGCTCCATCCCAAGCATTTGAAAGATCTCTTGCATACATCATTTGGTGAGGATTGTGTGCTGAGCTGCCACTTCCGTCATGCTTAGCCTTTCAGGTCCCCAGCTCTCAACCCGTGTGACTATTGGTTGTGAGGTTACCTGAAATCGCAAGTATACCGCAAACGTCCAACCTCATTAGGGATGCTGAAAGGCAACATCCGCTGGCAATTTCTCACTATACCTACAGATATGCTGTACAGTGCTTTTCACAACATTGTCTTTCGACTACAAATTTTGTTGATGAATGGCAGCGGACATGTTGAACATTCATTAAAATAACATAGTCTATGATAAAAATGCTTTGTTATGCTAATTACTGCTTTTGTTATTATATGAAGTGCCATCTGTTGGCCATTTTAAGCACTTTCTTTTTTTTTTATTGAATTTTCAAATGTTAATGGACTTTTGAGTCACCAGATATATTTGTGGTCATCCCAAAATAAGATGAATTTTTATTGTGGTACATAGTAACTTCTATTGTATGAAGAAATTTTAGTATAGTTTTGGTATTTCACAGTGAAATAGTGTTTCATCTGAACTGCTAGACATTAAATTTTTGGTGGTGGGTCATCTGCATAAATACAAAATTTTTGTCACCTTCTTCAATAACCTCTTTCATTTTCTGGTAGTATATATCAGCAAAACCATTCCAGCTCAGTTTAGCAATTTTTTACAGAAGAAAAGTATGATGACTAATAATTAAAAAAAAGTTGTTTATTACATGCCAAAAAATTCTGCATTTTTATTAGGCATTTAATGAGAAAAAGCAATTAATAAACCTAATTACAAGCAGATTCTTGTTTCTTTTTTCATTGTAGAAATTTCCTGATGACATCTTTAGAATATATTCAAAGAAATTGTGCTTTTTAATGGTTTTACGGCAAAGTAGTGTATTTCTGCAGAAATTTTAACACAACATCTTCCACTGTACGCAAATCCTACAACCACATACTTTAAAATTGAATTAAAAGCAAATATCATGATTTGTTTATAAAATCATTGGAACTTATAATACAGTCAAAGAATGTATATGAACATGATGAGATTGCTTGCTGAAACTGATGAACTGTTGTTTGAAACATTAGCATGTTGCCAGAGTTTGGCACAATTGAAAATTTGAAGAGATATATGAAATTATCCATTTTCTTTGCTTCATATTTTTCTTTTATCCAACAGTAGAATACTTTTTCAAGTTACTACTACTACTACTTACTTGCTCTAAGCATTTGCTTACTATATCTTTAAAAGGAAGATGATACCAAGATTCTTGTACAAAAATGTCCCACATAAATATTGTAAAGTGGCAATGACCATGAATTATCCCATAAAAATTAAACACTAATTTGTATTGCTGTACATTGCTTTAATGCAGTAGAAAAAAGGAAAAAGGTACACTTCTGTTATTGTGACCGGATTCAGAAATGTCTGTATATATGGGTATACGGATATATGTGTTCATACATGCATGTATATATGTATGTCCTATACATGTGTGCATATACACACATACATATATATACATGTGCATGCATACATGCATTTTTTATTCCAGTCCTGATAACAGAAGAGTACCGAAAAAAATCTTATATTCACTAGTAATAACTTAGAAATATTTTTAGTTTATAAACTTATAAACTAAAAATATTTTTAAATAAGTAAATAAATAAATGAAGTAAATAAAACTCTATAAATGATAAATATGTAAAACAAAAAGTGTTGGTATTTTGCAGAAATTTAACCAGTTAAAAATAAATCATAATATATTTCACCTTAAGAAAAACTGAATCACACAAGCTAAAATAAGGAGTTGGAAATATCTCCAAAACTTTTGGGACCATACTCTGAAATCTATGTATGTATGCTTGTGGGTATGGATGTATACACTCATGTATGTATATGTATGTATAAATACATATATGCACATGTAATATAAATGCATTTCCTAATTCAGTCCTGATAACTAAGTACCTAAATTTCTTATAATTTAATTTTTTATTACTATTACTAATATTAAAAAAATAAAAGGATACTACTCAAGAGACTGTTAATTATTCTTGCTGGGAATACAATACATATTTTCTTTCTAAAACCGATATGAATTATGTAACAAAACTGTTGTATAAAATATGTCCTAATTTTAAATAATAAGAGAAATATTTCACACACACTGCTTAAGAAGGAGAAAATACAAAATATTTACACATTCCATATTTTATTTATAAACATGTAATTCACAATAAATTCTTCAAACAATTTTAGGATTTTAATGAAACATGACATAACTGACATATTTATATACTGCTAATAAATCCTACAAAAATTTCAAATAAATAAATAAGAATCAAGCAGTTATTATAATACTGCTTTTCCGTAAGATTCATTTCCTTTTATGTTCAGAATTTACACATTTGTAAAAATTTTATTGAAAATATTACAGTATAATGAAGGAATAAAATTATAAATTAAAAAAAATAAGTTATTCTCCTAATAAAAAGCATTAAAGACTCAATTCCTCCCTATATATTGATATTACATTTCTTCTTATTTTAATTATTTTCTTGTCTTTCTTATAAATGTTTTACTATGAAGCTAAAAGGTGTATTTTAAATTATGGTACATTTTAACATCAAAACATTAAACTTCAAAGAGTTTAGAAAACGAAATTACTTACTTTGCGAAGCCCATGAATTCTGCAGATTACCAACATTCTGTAGAGTGTACATTAAGTCTTGATGACATTTACTTGAACTATTTTTAAAGAAAGAATAGTTCTGCAGTTGGAAATATATTGCATCATCATAAGGAAGACTCGATTCCCCTATATCAAAAGAATTAAAGGTATGGCCAACTTCTGACTTCAGTTTTACAGATTTTTCTACTCTCTCCGATATGTCCCCAAAAGTTCTTAAAAGATCATAATTCGAAAAACTGTCCTTTTCTATTTTATTTATTAAAAAATCATTACCTTGATATTCACTTTCTGAAAATGCTGAAGATACTTTCAAAATAAATACAAATATTAACAGTAAGCATATCTTCATTTTGGATCAAAGTTTCAAAACTACCGGCCTCTTGCCGTTTTTTCAAATACAGTGTTATTATATGTTGACTATATGAACTGATCTAATGAAAAGGAAGAAAGAACAAGCAACGCTACTTAATAAAAACCCTTCAAAGCTATTGCAAAATTTTACCAAACTGATATCTCATCAATGAGTGTGCAGTTTATAAAACAAGAAAGAATAGGTAACCTTATCATAAATTTATCAAGTCTGCATCACATGCCAAACAACTGTTTTCCTCCCCATGAAATGAAAAACTTTTCCTAATCAAACAGTGCAATAGCAGATAAAATTCTGATGTTTGCACAAAGTTGCAATAAAAGACCTCAGAACACATTACATAATTTAAGGAATTTTAACTGATACATAAGTAAGGTAAAATCTAAAATTCCGTAACTTAAAAAGAACTGTATCCAAAATTTTTAAATTAAACAAAAAACAACAACAACGAAAAAAAAAAAAGACGAATTATCTCATAAATGATAAAGCAGTAGATTAGCCTAACAATATTCTTTGAAATTTAATTGAAGATTTTCCATCGTAATGAAAAATCATTCATTAAACATTAGCCTCAAGAAAAATAGTAAAGAATCAATAACTAAAAACAATAATAGCTAAACAAATTTTTTCTTATTAAGAAAACCCAAGTTACCGCCTCTTTGCTACTATCGTGAGATCTCGTTTAGCAGACGAATTTCTCACATAAAAAACATAAACATTATTCAAGTATTCAAGTAGAAGTGTTAGTTGATAATGTATCCCACAAATAAAATGCAGTTGATAGGAAAAGCAAAAAATAGAAATGGCTCGATTTCGATAAACTTATCAGGAAAACATCAATATTACCTTTCATTCCTACACTAAACACTCGCAGCTGTAATAAATGAGATAGAAATGTCTTCCCTGATATCCGAATTTTTTTTTTGGGGGGGGGCGGGGAAGAGATCATGCTTGTGAAAGAGTATTCAGCGTATGGTATAAAAGTTAATTTATGTTCTCAGATGCACTGGTCACTTTCATAGATGGAGATTCATCGTCTATGGAGGTAGTGACTGTTACTGATCTTGGTCTTTCACTCACATGAGGGCCCATTGTAAACAATTAAATTTGGCATGCTGATATTTTGTCGTATTTGTGTAGTTGTGATGACATATAGAGTTGGGAAATATACATAGTGTTAGATGCTTGAAAATTTTTATCCATCTTTCAATGCCCTTGATAGTGTATTTGCTACTTTTATGTTCCAAATATCAAAATTTTTTTAATAAAATGCATTTTTTTATCATTCATATAATATTGCAATATGCTTTTTCTTAAAATTTTTTAGGAGAGAACCACAATAGTAGCTCATTTTAAGTCACTTAGGGTTTATGTAATTGAAGAATAATCCCTTTGGATTTATATATCTTAAGTGAAAAATGAAATTACCTCCAAATCCTATAATCCTTGTTAAAATTAATAAGTATATATATAATAACCTTTTCATCATTTGTAACCATATATTTGCGTAAAATTTAATACTAAAACATTTGCCAATTCGGCGGAAGTGCCTTGTGCAGTCAAGGTGAAGTGACAATATGAACGTGCCACATTGTCATGACAGCTTATTAAGAATTTGAAAATAGGGAGATTCACGGAGGTGAAAACCTTTTGTATATTCCGTCTTAGGATGTCCTGTCACGAATGGCATTTGTGAATTTAGATTAATTAGTTGTTTTAACTCTTTAAAAAAATAAACCAGTGTTGGTATGCAGAGAAAGGCTATCAAAATTACGATCTGATGGAAATGAAGTTAATGTTTAAATGTAAAATGGATAATTGCTATATTATCACAGAACTAAAAATTGCTAAGAGAGGTATTGAATACTCTGATGAAATATATTGAATGGAATATATATATTTGATAATGAGTGTATCCAAAAACGTATTTTAAGTAAACAGTTCACAACTTGATTGCTAAATGTAAATACAAAATAATACACGATGAGATATTTGTAAAATATTCAGCACATAGGTCAGGTTAAGATTTTTTAAATAGAGTAAGGCATACAAGGGTTCTCTTCCTAAGGGAAGAGATACCTTCGGGGAAGACTTTCGAAGAAAAACTCACTTTCTGTGTGCGTATTAAAAATAATGCACGTAATTTTCATTCATTTATACGTTTTCTTATGTAAAAATTCCTTTTCCCCCTTCCCCCATGGCGGGCACTCGCCTGTAACGGCATTAGCCACTACTAAGGCCAGAAGTGGAGGCTCCTAATGGGCCGCCACCGATACTTTCTATGAAGGGATAAACAATTTTACATCCATACCTTCTCCGGGATTCAAACCCGAGTCCTTTGGCATCGCAGTCAGGCTCCCTTAACCACTCTACCGTCTGAGCGGCATGTAAAAATTCCGATACATGCTAAATTACGGTAAATTCCTTTAATCGAAAAAATAGTGAATTCACAAAATTAAAGATTTGCATATACCGAAAAGGAAAAATATTAAATATATATGAGCATTTATGACATATCCTTAAAAAAAGCATGCATTCGCCTTTAACTAAATACGTAAATATTTATTCAACTGTTTATAAATGTATTTGGAAGTAAAGGATTTATTCATTGATAAACTGTGCTCACCAGCGGCCGAGCGGTAAAGACGCTGAACACTGGTAGTTCGGTCCGAGGTTCGAATCCCGATAGCTGGCTGGCTGCATGGGCGTTTTCGTGGTTTTCCCCATGCGTATACGAGCCAGTTTTCCTTAGAAAGTCCTCCACGAAGGCATCCCTCCCTTTAGACAGATAGCCCTCGTGTGCTTGCCATGATTAAATAATCCAATCCATTGATAAACTCCTGTGAATGTTACTCTGACGAAATCTAGTTATTAAATACATCTAAATTTATAATGAAAAATTATCTAAATATATAATGACCATAGCATTTAATTGTAAATTCCGTTGAAAAATATATTTATAAAATTATTTAAGCAAAAATTATTCATACTGAGAAACAATTTATTAAAAGGTGCTGTAAATCACAGTTTATGAGATGTGTATGTAAGGAAGTAGTAAAGTAGAATAAGTATATATATATAATAACCTTTTCATCATTTGTAACCATATATTTGCGTAAAATTTAATACTAAAACATTTGCCAATTCGGCGGAAGTGCCTTGTGCAGTCAAGGTGAAGTGACAATATGAACGTGCCACATTGTCATGACAGCTTATTAAGAATTTGAAAATAGGGAGATTCACGGAGGTGAAAACCTTTTGTATATTGTAGTGTATTACTATTAGTGTTACTATAAGTGTATTACTATAAGTGTATACTATTAGTATTTACTATAAGTGTATTACTGAAATCAGGGAGTTAATTAAAGTTAAAATTTTGATATGTATTTAAGGAATTATTTCCTTACATTTTCTAATAATTGAGTTCAAGTTTTAAAATAGTATTAATAACCCTCTTTTTATCCCTTACAGAAATACTCATAAAAATTTGAGAATATTGAAATCAGAAATCAGCAGCAATATTTAACGCATTTAACTATTAAAATAAAAGGTGATCTAATTTGAAACGAACCAAACAGAGCATTAATTACGGAGTCACTATGAATTTTGATTTAAAAGATGCCCCAGAAGCTGAAAATCATCTCATATTTGAGAAAGTATTTCAGGAAGAAGCTCTATAACAGAAAAGAAAAGAAATAACGCATGATTTTAAGAGCAATATTACGACAAACTTTGATTTTAATTTTTGTAATCGTTAACGGAGTGAAATCGAAATTCCTTAAAATTTTCTTCGAATGTAATTACCAAAAACTTGTGAAAACATTTTACTCAAATTAAAGCTGTTCTCAGCATGGAAAAAGTATAACATTTGATTACTCTCAGAAAGATATATTGCTTAAAAATGCATTTTTTCCACATTCTTAGAGTTCTGAAATATTGTAGAAAAGAAAATATATAATTTATACTCATATTATAACGGCATAATTACAAAATGTTTACCTCCAAAAAGTCAAAACATATTGATTCCCTTAGGGGCAAGTCACTGAATATTTTTGGTAAAGAAGAGGATTGTGTCACTACTTCAAATAAGCGCCTGAGGAAAACCAGTTCGGGGCCTCTTCTCTCTTTCCTACCTCTATTCCCTACACATCTGTGTTTAGAATGGTTGTATAACTAGACAGAAATAATTAAAAGGTGAAGAAAATATAAATTTGCTTAAATTTCTAAAATACATATAATTTCTAACTGTCCGTTATAGTTTTTAGCTAGGATTAAAATTTTATTAAACTCATTAGTACACTTTCAATAGCCAGGTACAAAGAACTTAATTTCGAAAATTAGGAGTACGATAGCCTTATTAAAACCATCAGAAAAAAAAAAATTAAAAAATAAAGAAAGAAAATAATCAATAATTAAAGAATAAAATAATTAATAATTAAAATTAAATAAGATTTAAAGAGACAAATAAATTTAATAAATTACTAAACTATTGATGAATAGTTAACCAATAAATAAAATACTGGCTCTCGTGTCATTCAGGACTCTAGCTGGAAGCTCGGGTTGAATTTAAGCTGATATACATCATAATGTACTGTTTTAAAAGATAATGAAAACAAAGATAATTCTCTTTCAAGTACACCAAATAAAGTAGGTAAGTCAAATAAAGCGTTACTAATGATAATACAGGGAAGGCTATGTAAAGTCTGAGTGAGTTAGGGACAGGAGTACAACCGGACATCATCGCTCTCCAGTTAATGAGATACGATGACCTCAGCGATCACGTGACTTATGCATAGCTAATGTAAACAAACAAGGTAGATGAACTCTGAGATCACGTGACTTTTCGTAATATAAACAAACAAAGTCATTCTTCCTCTTTTCTTCTTTCGGAATGGTTCGTCAGCTGCCGAGCGGTAAAGTCGGAGAACGCTGGTAGTTCGGTCCGGAGCTCGAATCCCGGAGAAAGGGCCGGCTGCATGGGCGTTTTCGTGGTTTTCCCCATGTGTAAAGTGTTACGAGCCAGTTTAGCCTAGAAAGCTTCCACGAAGGCTTCCCTTCTCTTAAGCAGATAGCTGTCGTGTGTTATGCCGTAAACAAATGAACCAATCTTTCATAATTGGTATAGTGCTGTGTCCATCTTTATCTTTATAAAAATATTACGTATATACATATGATGGCTGAAATACTTATTTGGCAGTTGACACTCGTAAACATATGGCTGTTGTACAATGAAGGCTATACACATAATAGTTGTACTATGTTGTATAGTATAAATAAGCATACTGATTATAATGTAATAAATATTTAGTAAAATAGTTATCATTGGTCTTCAATTTTGACACAATACAATTGGCATGATGTAATTGTGATACAATATATTTGGTAATTACCATTTGGATCAATATTATAGAAACAGTATGAAAAAGAATAGTTTTTTAAGATTTAGTTATTGTCAAAATAAAATTTTCGAAATCCAAAACATTTTCGGTTGAAGTTATGGTTTAATTACATAAATGAAGTGCTGAGGGCTCTGACGCGTTCAAGCTGGAATTACGATTTATTCCGAAATTAAGAAGTACTGGAGCCCGCCTTAGAGTAATTTAAATTCTACACCTAATTGAAGTCAGTTCTTTACTCAAAAAATAACTTCATAAATAAGAGAGAAGACAGTTGAGATGAGTAGTATAAAAATGGGGGTTCTGCGCCAGGAGGAGTGAGGAGCTGAGGGCGTGGCAGGTGTATCGTGCAACGTCATCAATGACATTACACCAGGGGCGTCGCCAATGGCGTCACGAGTTGAGATGAGTTGTTTTAAGCTGCTGGTTGAGTTGTAGACCTCCTGCTTTTCATTTAAAGTTAGTTTTTCAAAATTGGCAACGGGAATATTTTCTGCATCTTAATTTTGATGATATAACGATGCTGCCCTCTATTGATGAAAAAGTAAATTATATATTTTAGAAATATATTTTTAAGTCTGGTGTTAAAATTATTCAAAGCGCGACTTTGAAAACAATGTAAAGAAACAAATATAAAAAGACTTTCCTTTAATGATAGTTCATCACGTCATGAAAATGAAACTACAAGATAATTTTTTTTTATTACTCAATTTTTCTGATACTTTTATCCTTTCTAGTTTTCCATGAACAACTTTTTCTCAGGTTTTCTGTTCATAATACATATTCGTTTACTGTCATATTTTTTTAATTTAATACTTAACGTTTCTAATTTGTAATATTTTATTTAATTTCCACATACTATTTTTTTTCATACCTTTCATAATTTCAGCATACCCTGATTTTTTCAACTTTATTTTTATATTATATTCACAAACGTAACGTTCCGCTGTTTATTTGTTACATTACTTAATTTTAGATGCAATTTCACACTTTTTTTAACGTTATAATGTTCAATATATTCTGAAATTTTAACTTCATTTACTTTTTTTTAACCGTTCTAGTATACACACTTTGACTTGGTTGTTTTCAATTCTGTTTAAAATGAAACTATATTTTTCGTGATCTCAGTTCTTTCACTAAATTTTCTACAAAATTTCTAATTTCTTTCACATGTTTAACAATATCTTTCCTTACATTACCGAATATTTTTGAAAAAAAACTTAAGTCTATAACTGTTAATTGCTTTTCTTACGTTCATGATTTCCCTTCTGTAGTTTATATTTCTTAATTCTAGTTTAACTTATTTATTATAATGTTTTTATTTCTGTCTCATCAATTCGTAATTCTAAACATTTTATTCCCTTTTTAGTTCATTTTTAACGATATGGATTGTTTTCATTTACTACGTATTCAACCATTTCCTTACAATTTTTAAAATACTTGTTATGTTTCTCCGATCATAATTGATCAGACTTTTTTTTACTTCAGAAATTTCCATTCACAACTTTACAGTTTAATACCATTTATATCTAAATGTATTTCTTTCTCATATAGTTTTATGGTCTTCAAAAGTTTCTAACATCATGTTTAGTTTTAAATCCCTATTACCTATAAGTATATTCAGAATTTTTGCTTCTAATTTTACAACCACATTCAGTGTTTCATGCATACATAACAAAATATTTCTTACATCTTATGATATTTAGTCTACGTCATATTTCAATACTTCAAATGAAGTTACACTGCTCACACTATTATTTTTTCATGTTTCAGAGACACTGACTATACTGATTTTATCTTTTCCCTTCATTATTTGCATCTGTGTCCATACTCACGGAAAAGTAGCAATTTTTACATCATGTACATAAAGAAATTCTTAAAGCCAACTTTTTCAGCATCGTACTCAAATTACTATTTTTTCAAATGTGAATTACCAGTATTCTTTGGTTTTACTCTATTGCATTTTTTAAATTTTAACATCTTACTTTTAATTCTAACATACATCTTTTGAACAGCTTTTTCTTTTAATGACAGCGTCTAACCTTACCTTGTTTGTTCAAATTCCTTCTTTAATATCTTTCAGTACGTTCTTTAATTCACTATGCAACCCCAATGTCTTTCACTGACATTCTATTTGATAATACTATTTGATACACAAGTTTCAATTGAGAAAAAGCGAATTATTTCTCCTTTCAAAATAGAAATACTGTATTTTTCACAAACATTACCTTCGTCCATTCAAGACATCCCCTTAATCCTGTAACTGATGTAGCGATAGGAAAGGAAACTCTTATCATATGCTCTTTGGACATTTGAGGTTTTTAGAACTTCTTTGGCAAGTATATCAATACCATCAGAAAATATACTTGACATTTTTACTCAGTTTAAAGGTGACATACTGTTATGAAGAAGGGTTTTAGTTAAATTTATAAAACAAATAAACACATTGTTGTGCTAATTAGGCATAAACATTTAGATTCAGAATATTTCTTTTTAATCCGATGTAAGACCTTGAATTTCATTCATTATACGGATTGCCTCTTGATTTATTTTTACCTTAAACACTAATGGAAAATTTTTATTTTACAAGTTCAGCTTTTAACGAAATAGAAATAAAAACTACGATACACCTGCTGTTTTTAAGAAAATTAACTTTGATCTATTTCTAGAAATGTAAATGCTTCTAGAGTTTTCTTTCCATAACATCGGTTTTCAGTACTTTACTAATTTCAATAAATTTTTTATTAGTTAATATATTTTCTTATGAACGAAAGATTGCTGAAAACATGACGCAGTATAACTCTTACGAATACATTTTATTATGAACGAAAGACTACCAAAAACGTTTCGTTTATTATGAACTATTTCGTTTATTATTATTTCTTTCCATAACGTCGGTTTTCATTAATTTAATAATTTCAATAATTTTTTATTAGCTAATGTATTTTATTATGAACGAAAGATTGTTGAAAACATGACACAATATAACTCTTACGAATATATTTTATTATGAACGAAAGATTGTCATGACACAGTATAACTCTTAAGAATATACATATCTTTACCAGCATATAGACATTACTAAGTGAACCAAAGAAAGATATTACAAGAGAATTTCCTCCCCAATCTATATTATATTTCTAAAATATTTAAACTTTTATGCATTCCCGAATACAGATGAAAACAGTGAGCTTCCAGTTCCACGAAGGCATACGAGAAGGAGGGAGAAAATACGTTATAAGATATTATTCTGTTTGCATATATTAGATAAAATTAATTTAAACCTTTTATAAATGATATTTGTAGTAATGCTTTGAACTTCATAAAAGTGAGAATTCACTTTGTTAATACATGTATCATCAGTTATTTACATTAGTCAATGTAATATCATTATTCGTTAGATATACTATATGCATACATATTTAAAGTTTAATTCTCTTATGAGTAAATAACTATCTGTTAACAGAAAGAGGTCCATATTTTGCAATATTTAGCTCGCATTCAACAACTTTTTCTAAGATCCTCATTGAGCCACGTTCATTAAATTCATCAACGCTCTTTTTTATTTTTTCGAAGGCTTCGTCAATCTCTGTTTCTATATCATGCCCTTTAAATAACTGCTGACAGTTTCTACAAAAATGAGGATAAATCTATTCAGTGTCTCCATCTACATTCTCACGACTCATTTTAACGGTAACTGTTAAATACCATTTCAGACACCGATATGTGTCTACATCATAACTCAGTTTTTCTACAAGTTGCAATTTTATATATTCAAGAAACACATCTAAATCTTCATCATTCTCTGTGTTAGAGAAAATCGATTCAGTTGAGAACATACCATTAAGACCTGTGATTTTAGTGGACTTACATTCATTAACAGAGTCAACTTTTCTTCGTATTTGCAGGACTCGTGTCACATCATGTTCCATTGGAATATGACGTAGTAGATCACTTTTTCTTTTAAATACTTCTGAATACTGGATACAGTTTCTAAGATGGGAAGTTTCATGCTGTTTCAAAGCATTGTCATCAGTAAATCGTTTTGGACAGCTACTACAGTTAAAAAATGTTTCATGGGATTTCATGTCTCTTCAAATCCTTCTTACTTGAAAAAACTTCTAAACATTCACTAAAAATTTAAAATGATAAGCTTCACGACTTTTCAAACCATCAGCTTCTCTAAATTTTTTAGAACATACACTACATCTGAAGGTTCTTTCATGAAATTTCAAACGTCTATTTAGATCACTTGTTTTCAAGAAAACTCGCATACACATCGCACAAGTAAAATTTCGGAGATGAATCGCTTCTTGAACTCTTAAATTATCAACACGTGTGAATCTCTTGAAACACATACTGCACTGAAAAGGTGTTTTTTTAGTATGAAGCCTCATATGTCGGTTCAAGACATTCCACAGTCTATAGAAAGACATTCCACAGTCCTCGTACTGAAAGAGACGTTCTCCTGTATGGATCTTTAGATGTTGTTTTAAATTTTGTTTCAATGTAAACTTCTTGCCACAAATAGGACACACCTAAGATAAAACACGAGAAAATCATGAGTATTAAAATGATATATACAGTTCTTTTAAACTTTAATTATATCATTCATCATATATCTTAAACATTAACAACCTACTATTTTCGTATTAGATGTTAAACATATATTCCATAAAACAAAGTGAAACCTACCTCCTTAGATACAAATTCATCATCAATAGTGTCGCTGGAGATTAAACAAGAATTATCCATTCAGAATTCAAAAAGAACAACAAACATACACACAATGCACAAGCATAAAGCTAGGTTAAAAAAAGGCAATGCAATGTTCATTCTGAAGATATGAATTTATATATGCCATTCCACTGATTAAGAAATTAACTCAATTCACCAATCAAATAAAACGGATCAAGAAGCATCACCTCTTATCCAGTTAGAAACGCATACATTTCATTAATATACTGAGATATGATTATTTTCTATTATGTCAATCATCTGATAACATCTTGACTCTTCTAGCCAGAATAATGCGAATGACATGAAAGTGTACTGGAACTTTATCAGAATTAGATAAGTCAGCAAGATTAAATACATGGGATAGTTACATTATCTTAAGATGTTAAACATGTGATTAAGAAAGTAAAAATCTATCGATCATAACCGAACAAACGAATGCTTTTATTCACTAAATATTCAGAAAATAATGCAATATCATTAATAATACTATCAGACAACACTATAGATGAATAAATATGATAACTTATTTTGATTTGGTTGATTCTCTCAAATTTTGTCAATCAAATACTTGATACTAATTTTAAATATTTTAATTTTCACATTATTGCAAAAACCCATTGACTATTTTCAAAAACTTTCCTTTTAGATCCATACATTTATCTCTCTGAAACATTTAACTGTAACACTTTTTGTAATACCAACAACTAAATATTACATTTCTTATTAAAACATGGAAGTGAATCTCAGATTTCCTTCTACGAAACACCAACTAATTCTAATATAATTCCTATAATAAAATCATTTTATCACTTAAAATTACACACTTATTACCATATAAGATCACATATGCAGACCATATAAAGTATGAAATAAAGAAAACTCTTTTCGAATGTTTTTCGACTCAAGATAAGGTTATTCATATGAACATGTAAATATTCTTCAAGTTTGGAGAGCTTCTCAAATAACACAGCGTATAAATATACAAGTTCCAAAATATAAATGGTAACTGTGGAGAAAATGTTTGATAGCAACTGTTCAAAAGTGATTATTTTGTCATTCTCTGCGAAATGCTCGTATACAATTTAATCCTCACTCTTACGTAGAATTTACAATTCTACAAAAGGCTTTGGTAGAGAGAATCTTAATTCCCTTTGTTTAGTTAGTTGCTTACTTATTGTTCTTGCGAGGTGTCGTTCCGCATGAAGTGACATAAATCGAAGATATTTTTCTCTTTAAATACCCTTTGTATTGCTTTGCATTTAATGTTTTAGTACTTTGAAGTATAACTATTGATTATACTGCGTGATATTCTGAACACTTGTACGAATATCTCTGAGGAGAACTCAAGAGTTCTGATGTATTTCTGTTGTTAAGAATAAATTTTAATAACTTATTATTAAACTTGTACATTCAATCTACACTGGTGAAATAAATAAAGAGAATTTGCATATTTGATCTACGATCTTCAGAACTACTGGACATATTTTAATAAAATTTGAAGTGAACGTACGTTGATATAATACCAACAAAATAAACATTCAATAGTTATAATAGACACACATGTTCGTGTATAATTCTCATGGGAGTCTGAAGGTCTGAAAAAGCGGTTGCAGATGACGCAAAAGAAAAGGGTTAATAGGGGGTGTAGTCCCTTCTTACAGCTATACAGGCCTCGCAAAGTAGAAATGAACGTGGACCAAGCAGAGATGAAAGCTGGTCAAGTAGCTGTTAAAGAAGAAGCGATATAACTCCAAGAAGAGATGAAAGCCCTTCAAGAAAAGATGAAAGCTGGTCAATTATCTGTTAAAGGAGAAATGTGAGCGGACCAGGAAGATATGAAAGCTGGCCAAGTAGTGATGAAAGCTTACAGAGAATCTGTTAAAGGAGAGATGAAAGCAGTTCAAGAAAGGTGGAAGCTGATCAGGTATCTATTAAAGTAGAGATGAAAACCGTTGAAGAAAAAGATGAAAGCTGGTCAAGTATTTATTAAAGAGATGATAAAAACAGGTCAAAAGGACTAGCTGTGTAACAGAAAACAAATTTGAGGTTGTCAAAGGCAGAATTGATGTTGTTGAAAATAAAGTTGGAGACATTGAAGAAAGAGTTTATTATTTTAAAGAACAAATAGAAGAAAGAGTTTCTGCTGTGGAGCAAAGAATCGAATGGACAGTTTCTGTCGTCTAACAACAAATTGACGACAGAGTTTGTGTTGCAGTTGTCAAAGAGTTTGACACCTTAAAGAAGTGCACAGCGACAACTGGAAGCAATTCTGAGGGTTTTAAATTTTTATCCATGCCTGCTTGTCCCTCTCTGAAGTTATCCACATATAATGGGAAGACCTCCTGGTAAGTGTATAAGACACAATTTTCTATAGTGGCGGAAGCGAATGGATGGTGTTCCCAAGCTAAGGCGTGTCATCTCGCCGCTTCTCTGTGAGCAGACGCAGCGGATATTCTTCAGACTGTTCCCGAAAACCAGAGGCTAGGTTTTAAAGGTCTACCCGACGCGTTGGAGCTTCGCTTTGGAGAGAAATGCTTAAAAGACTATCGCGGGCTTCAGTTAAAATCCGGTTAACAGAAGCTCACGGAAACACTCCAGGAATTTGCCACGGTTGTTGAAAGGCTGTCTTATCTCGCCTTTTCGGAATGCCCGACAGAAACAAGAGAAATCCTGTCCCTACATTACTTCATCGACTGCATGCGGGATCCTGAAATACAAAAAGCTTGAATGACGGATGCCAAGGATTTAAAAAGCCCTCTGGTGTACGCCATCATATTCAGCTGCTTGCTGAGCTGCGGAGCTCAGCAAGCAGCTCGTAGAAACCGCCACCCAATCAGAGCTGCTCAAATCCAGGAGCCAGTGGATCAAGTCACTACTCATTTAAACAATTTAACCAGACAACTCAAAGCTTTGGGACGGAATATTAGTGGCAAGAAACTGACCCTAAAGTGCTGGAACTGCGGTGCTGAAGGCCACATACGAAGAAACAGCAGAACACACCAGTGCATGGAAGCTAAGACATCTCCCTGCAAGAATCAGGGAAATTCATTAACAGGGCGCAAGTTGCCAGATGATGAGAAAACCCATTTTAAAGCACTTCAAATTTCTAGAATGAGTGGCGGCAGTAATGGACCCTTCATCACCGGACATATCAATAGAGTTCCCTGCAGTTTGACTATCGATACATGAGCCAACGTTACCATCATTAGAAAAGATTTGCTTCGACAACTAGAAGGCAAACTTATCTGGAGGCCGTCCTGCGTTACGCTCCAGACTGAGTACAGGAAGAAGTTAGACATCAACGTGAAATTAAACGTTAACATCACGTTTGGAAGTGCCGCCTACCATCACACGCATATGTGGCGGATATTACAGATCCTTGTATACTTGGATTGGACTTTCTATTGGAAGTACAATTCTTCTTTGGACTTCAAAAATAACTAACTGCATTCTGCCTCTGAGGACTTTCTAGTTTATTGTTTAGTGTTTTCATGTGACAAAGTGTTTTCTTGTGACACTAAAAATACTACAGTTTGAAATATAACTTCACTAAAATTATTTACATGCCTGCAAAAATTCGTAACAATATTATTTAAAGAAAAACGCGGGAATTACTCTTGCCGTTAATTTAAATAGTAGCTAGACAGGATATCAAATAAATTCTACACATACCATCTCCATACTCAGGTGAGATAAATTGCTACTGCAAGAAATATCAGCGCGGGGACCGATGTCGACACCATAAGCAATCTATATTTCTTACGGGAGAATGTGTAATAAGCTGATAATGTTTTTACGTCATGAGTCAAATGAACGTGAAAAAATGGTTCATTGAATACACTATCAATATTTCTCTACTTCAACCTTTTATCTCAGAAAGTAGATGAAGTTCCATTAAATGTTATTCTTTGACTGTTCTTTTTTAGCACAAAGGGGCAATTTGTAAAGAAGGGCTATTAATTTCGTTTTGTCATTTTGTGTTGATTCACTATAAATGGCGAATCACTTTTGAAATTGTTGCTTCCAAATATTAGAGCCCTGCATTATATTTAAAGAAATTAAATAAAGAAGAATCTACATAAATGTACGTATGCTTCTCGCATTATGATAAAGCAACGGTACCTAGAGCCATCAAATTTTGAATAACGTACGTTTCCACCCGAATATAGGCATCTGGAATCCCGAATTTGGAATTTGTTTTTATTATCTGTTACATATTTTGTAAAGCATTTATGAGTTTTTTAATTAAGAAAGTCAACGATTTCAAAGCCAGGAATGGCAATACTATACGAAAAAAAAAAAATTATCTTCAGCTCACGAGACTGTGTATCGGAAATTCTAAAGCTATGCTCTTTTAAATATTTTGTCATATTGCTGTTGAATTGAATTTTATGGTTAAAGTGCGAAGAACATGATGTTTAATAAATAAAAGTAATACACAAAACGTTAAACAAACGACCCTTTGGGTATAATATAAAATCTTAAAGTTTTCATATTCTTTTAGTTATTTTTAATTAAACATATATGACAATCGTTAATTAAAATTAAACCTGTAGAAATTGACATATGAAGTAGCAACAGTTGCTTACCAATTAGCCAAATCTGAATAGATTTCCATTTTTCTAAAAATTCAAGGTAACAGTCGGCAATAAAGTGTCTCAATATATTGAAATTTGAGACTTAATTTACATATAAAAGTATATTGGAAGTCGAATAAAACGTGCATTGGTTGTAGAGGAAACTTTCACTTCCAGATGATTCTTGGGAAAATAAATAAAAATAACATAATGTAGAACGTGACGTGCCACTACTTGGCTACAGTTAATTTATATAAAACGATATTTCACGAGTCACTAAGTCTATTCTTGACAAAAACAGAAAATAATTAATAATTAATACATTAAATCATATGACATGTTCCAGAAAAGAAATTTATTTCGGGTATAGTTTTAGTACAAAACTCTAACTTTGGAGACGAAGGTAGAAATCATAAAGAAAGTAGAGAATGGAGAATGCAAAATAAAGTTAGCAGCTGACTATGGAATTACAAAAAATACCTTGTCAACTTGTTTAAGAAAACAAGGAATCAATTTTAGATTCGTGGAGAAAATCTAAATTTGCTAGAGGAAGGAAACGCATGAGAAATACGTCCCAGGAAGACCTAGAAAAAGCTTTACTGCTTTTTCCTTTTAATTATTCCAGGAGGCTAAATCTCGAAATTTTCCGATGAATGGACCCTTACTGTAAACGAAGGCTGATGAACTGGCAAGTCGAATGGGTATTGAAGATATTAAATGCAGTGATGGGTTTTGTGCGACCGTTAAGT